CAGGGTTGAAATGAAGGAGAAAATACTGAGGGCAGCCAGAGAGAAAGGTCAAGTTACCCATAAAGGGAAGCCTATCAGACTCACAGCAGATCTCTCAGCAGAAACCCTACAAGCCAGAAGAGAGTGGGGGCCAATGTTCAACATCCTTAAAGAAAAGAACTTTCAAGCCAGAATTTTACATCCAGCCAAACTAAGCTTCATAAGCGAAGGAAAAATAAAATCTTGTGTGAACAAGCAAGCTTTCAGAGATTTCATCACCACCAGGCCTGCTTTACAAGAGCTTCTGAAAGAGGCACTACACATAGAAAGGAAGAACCAGTATCAGCTTTTTTAAATGCCAGTATTAAACTCACATATATTATTATTAATTCTAAATTTAAATCAACTAAATTCCCCAATCCAAAGACACAGACAGGCAAAAAAAAAAAAAAAAAAAAAAGCCAAGACCCATCGGTATGCTGCATCCAGACCCATCTCACATACAAGGATACACAAAAACAAAGGGACGGAGAAAGATTTACCAACCAAATGGAGAGCAAAAATAAATAAGTAAATAGAAAGCAGGAGTTGCAATTTTTGCAGATAAAATAGACTTTAAAGCAACAAAGATCAAAAGAAGCACAGAAGGATATTACATAATGATAAAAGGATCAATGTAACAAGAAGAACTGAAGATCCTAAATATATACGCACCCAATACAGGAATACCCACATATATAAGACTTATAAAGAGACTTAGACTCCCACACAGTAATAGTGGGAGACTTCAACATCAATATTAGACAGATCAATGAGACAGAAAGTTAACAACGATATCCAGGACTTGAACTCAGATCTGGAACAAGTAGACTTAATTAACATTTGTAGAACCCACCACTTTAAATACACAAAATATACACTCTTATCACATCACACCTATTTACAGGTTTAAATGAAATATTGGTTGGCTGTTTGTTATTTTCTTCCCTTTTTTTTATGTCTCTATTACTAAGTACAAGTATAGGCATACCCATTTTTAGACTGCATTCCAGCCTGAGCAATAAAGCAACAACCCTGTTCTCTCTCCCGCTTCCTCTTCCTTTCTCTCCTTCATTCTTTTTTTTTTTAATTATTATTATTTTTCTTTCTTCTTCTAAAAAAAAAAAAAAAAAAGATTCATGGGGCAATATTCTTCTCCCACAGCAGGTAATGATTTTGGTGAGCTCAACTGTATTAAGTTACCCGTTTTTGTTGTTTTTTATTTTATTGTGATCTATAATATTAAATGCCAGTATACCTAACAGCATTTCACAATATATTAATTCAGAAAATTTTCACCAGTGAAAAGCAGGAGGTTTTAAAAATCAAACTGGTCTTTCTAGGCTTCTGAGAAACTGAACACTCAGTAGTAAGTAATGCCATCAGGAAAAGGAGTAAGACTCCAGAGAAGCCTTATTAAGAGATGAGGAGTGGTCTATTGCTAATATATGAAAAATGTTTCTGGTACATTTAATTAGCCTAATTACATGATGCACTTACAGCTTATTATTAATGCTCTCTGACAGACACTTCACGCTGGCATTGAAAGCCTGGTGGCCATAGTGCCTTGAAATGAACTCAGATAACTTCCAGGAGTTCCCATTGGTCCCATACATTGTACAACAAGGTGTCAGTAATATGTATAAAGTACATTTTGGTTAAAAATGTGACATCCTTTTTTGGTTGTGGGGAGACGAATTCTCACTCTGTCACCCAGACTGGAGTGCAGTGGCGCAATCCTGGCTCATTGCAACCACTGTCTCCTGCGTTCAAGCAATTCTCCTGCCTCAGCCTCCCGAGTAGCTGGGATTACAGGCGTGCACCACCAAACCCAGCTAATTTGGTATTTTTAGTTAGACACGGGGTTTCACCATTTAGCTGGGCTCGTCTCGACTCCTGGACTCAGGTGATCCACCCGCCTTGGCTTCCCAAAGTGCTTGGATTATAGGCATGAGCCACGACCTGGCCCAATAACCTTCTTAAACATTCAAAATTTTCTGCTTGGTGCATTTAACTAACACGATGCATTTCTACAATCATTTGGAGAAAGAATAAAAGTGACATAACAGAGAGTTCTAATTCCAAATCATTCGAATGATGATTAAGGCTGTCATGAATTAACTTGCAAACCCACTACTAATTACACATTCTTTAAACACTAATGCTTCCGATCTCCCTCTACATGCTATTTAAGGACTACTCCAAATCAACTTGATGCTCACTAGCACAAAGCATGCAATATGGCATTTTCACCAAAAAAACAAAAACAAAAACAAAAAACAAACAAACAAAAAAACCCCCACAACTAATTTTATTATGCTGAGAAGCAATTCTCATAGACATTCAACATCATAAATTTTCATGATGACATTTGAGATTTAATGAAATAATATCGTGGAAAGAGAATTATCTGGAACATAGGATTATGTGAACTCTTGGTACTTTTATTTGTGAAATACTGCAGGAAGTACTGCCTTTAAAGGAGATTTCAGTACCCAGAAAATACAGAGTTATTTTCATTTCAAAAATTCAACTAGTACGCATTTCTTCAAGTTTTCCTACTTAGAAGGCTGTAACTTACTGAGTTAAAATTGTTTATAAAACTCCCTGTCCCAGAAGAGGACATTAAAAGGTTAGTTTTAAGCCTGAGGTTCAATGTTGAATTGAAGGAAAAATACATTTTTCATTGAAATAGATAAATAAAGCATCCTAAATACATCCATAAAACAAGTGCACATGAATTTTTTCTTTTGAAATTTAACAATGACTTTGTGCATGCTTCTCTTCTTTTTGGGAAGAGAGTGATTTTGTCAAATAATGTTGTTTTACTGGTAAAAATACTGCATGTCAGTACCCAAGTGGAAACTGAGGACATAGCTAAGTGATTTATAGATTTGTATGGATTCTCTTACACATAAATGAAATAAAAGCCTTTAAGATGAAAAAATATATATGTATAAGCTATAAGTGGGTTTTCTGTTTGTTTTGCAAATAGAACAGCGTTTTTTAAAGAACCAAGAGAAGGTCAATCTGGACTAACCTTTAGTCACATTTAAAACAAATGGACACAAACACCTTTATTGTGAATAGACTAATGCTGCATGCAGTGGCTGACGCCTCTAATCCTAACACTTTGGGAGGCCCAAATGGGAGGATTGCTTGAGACCAGGAGTTACGAGACCAGTCTGGGCAACACAGCAAGATATCGTTACTATTATTATTTTGTTTAAAAAAGACTAACAAAGTGAATGTTGCTAGGAAGAACTATAATAAAATGACTTTGTAAGTTCACAGTTGTGACTATCACAAAGAGAAACAATTAAGAACGTGAAAACTGTACATTCAGGTGAAGTCTGAGCAGACCCAAAGAAACCTGGCTAATAAATACCACAACACATCTGCATTAAAACATTCAGTAGCTTAATAATTTTAAACCTAAGAAACTACCTTGTACTACAGGGAATACTAGATGGAATTTAAGGCAACATTTATATATTTTGAAAAGAAATGCTTAAAAATGATTCTTCGAGCCAAAAATGAATGACAGCTTCCAAATTGAATCCATAGGATAAAGTTGTTAGAGAACAATAGCTATTTAGGTACTATGCACCATTCATGTCTAATTAGAGTTTTGAGAACTGCCTCAAGATAAAGAAATAGGACAAACTGAATAATCAGCGTTGCCTTTAAAAAATTTATTACTGAACCAGCCTGACTCTAGGCAGCTGGTATACTAGGAAGTACCCATCACACAATACTGCACGGTTCTAGGCATTAAAAAGTATAACAAGATAGAAAATTAAAATATTTGATTATTGCTCTCCTTTAACAAATAGTTTCACAAATCCCTGAAGAATTTTAGCCAAAGAAATGAGTACCCTTCTCAGAGGACTGTTAAATGTGTGAAAACTATTAATTTCTAGAGTGAATCTTCAACTTCTTAGTTATTAACTGTGAGTATGCATTTTTTACCTTACTAAATGTTTAAAATATTTCATTAATTACTGTCTGCCTTGCCATATCCATATTTAGACATATAAATATATATACAGGCCAGACTGCTGGCTGAGTGCAGTGGCTCATGCCTGTAATCTCAGCACTTTGAGAGGCGGAGGTGGGCAGATCACTTGAGGCCAGGGGTTTGAGACCAGCCTGGCCAACATGGAGAAACCCTGGCTCTACTAAAAATACAAAAATTAGCTGGGTGTAGTGGCACACACCTGTAATCCTAGCTACTTGAGAGGCTGAAGCACAAGAATCACTTGAACCTGGAAGGTAGAGCCTGGGTGACACAGGGCGACTCCATTTCCAAAAATACACACACACACACACACACACACACACACACACACACACACACGTGCATTTAATTTTTAAATCTCATTCCTCTTTTTAAATTCAATAGGCAAGAGTGTGTCCACATAAAAGTCATTGTTAAGTTGGTGGTATTTGAGAATTAGAACCATTAAGCTGTAGAATAATTTTGTATAAATGCTTATGGATACAAACAGAAAACATCTATTTCTTGATATTCAATTATATGATTTTTGAACTTGGAGTAAAACTGTTCAAGGGTAATGAATACTGTTATTCACAGCTGTCTGTAGGGATATTTATAATCCGTAAAGTGTGTTTTAGAAATTTCCCAATACTGCTGAAAAATCAGTTCAAAACTTTTTATGATGTCAAGACTTGATGGTAGAACTTCCAACCCTTCATTTTTCAGTCCTGGCACACTGCAACAAACAAAAAGGCTTTCAGAATATCTCCCTCTTAAAACTTACCCAACAGATTTTGTGCACATGTAACAGGTAATTAGAAGACAAGTATCTTTTGGGGCATAAAGAACAGACAACTTAATTGTTTTCTTTCATATATCCATGGGTTTTGGCATGAAGTTACCTAAACCAAGGTGGGAAGGGGTGGGAAAGGGCCAATGTGTTAAAGCCAATTATGTACCATACATAAGAGTTCACATGTTGACTACTTGAAAAAATTCACATTTATTTACTGTCAAACCGTGTTAAACTTTACACTGGATATTAGTGATGGGCTCATTATTAACAGGTTTACACAAAGGGATGAAAAGAAAAGCAGAATTTTGCTGAAACAATTTACATTTCATTAGAATTTTATCATAAAATAAATTAATTACTAAATATAGGCAGAAGGAATATGGAAGAGTAATATTTATGTTTTATTTTATTTTTTTTTAAAAAAAGAATAGGCACCTTTTGTTCACCAGAAAGTTTGTGAGAAGTGCCCAGTGCCCTCTTTGCTCTCTGTTCAAGAATAAACAGAGGAGTGACACACAATCTTTCCTAGATTTCACCACTTTTGTGCAAGGCATGGCATAACTGGCTTCAAAAAAGTTTTTTTTTTTTTCCTCCCCATAAAACACGTTCTTTTGGCAATACGAAATTTAAATGTAAGTAATAATGTCAAAGCAGAACACTGTATACAGTGGAAAAGAAGTGAAAATGGGTAGAACTTACCATGACAAAGTATAAGAAAAAACATTTCATAACATGTGCAACCAAGAGCTTTTCACAATATTTTCTTCACTCTTTAAAATTATTTTAATGACAATTATATTTCAGTTGGACACAAATGTATTTATTTTATCCTAGCAATAGAACAAAATATAATTTCTTTAGCCATTTTTCATGAGAATAGTTCATTGTACAGTTGAGGAAACATATGAAATAAGGCCTGTGGCTTGATTGCTAGTGGTTAAGCATGTTTTCAATCTTTGCCTTAATGTAAAAGATTTGCAGTGAACTGCAAACTGATGCAGAATATCTCTCCTGCTTTTCCAAGTCTTGTCAGGAATAGTAAGGTACAGTAAATTTGTCCCACAGGATTTTAAAGCCTACGTCTTGTATATAATACAATGCAGGCCTACAAAAAATGGTGCAGCCATATTTACAAATTTAGTTCACAGACTGCTGCAGTAAAATGGCTGAAAAGTTTTGCTTGTTTCACAATTTCTCTAAACAGCAGCAGAATCTTAAAATACCTGGTTGGCATCTCTTTTCTTTGTAACAAATAATTCATTTTAGTATACTCTGTGTATATACAAAGTTTTTGTATGTTTTATAAAAATTCACAGAACTGCAAGGTTCAGTCATGTTTTTTACACTGGAGAACCACAGGTCAACAGAGTCATCTCTTCAAGCAAAGTTTGAGGGAGCTGCGTCAGGCCAATGGAGTCTTTACGTATGTATTTATTAACACTTGCATGTGGCCCTTGGAATTCCTTAGCTGTATGATTAAAGGCTTGTAACCAGCTGCATTTGTCCTTCTCTAACATCTCCTTCCGGAATACACCCTTCTTTGTTAATGGGGATTATATAACCATCACTATTGCCCCTGCTGATCTGGTAGCACATCTGAAGCTGATGGCCAGCTCCAAGATTTGGCATGCTTTTATAGTAAATGTCCTCATTCTCACTCCTCCTGGAGGGAGAGAGGTCTTCTTCCATGTCAGGGCTGCTCTCTGGATAGAGAGAGTCTCTGAGATTCGGCATGCTTGTATAAAGAGAGTCTCTGTTGGGGGACTGTAGGTGATCTTCAGCCTCTGCTGTCAGCTGGGAGACATAGCTGTCAGTTCCCTCGGACTTCACTTTCTTCTGGGGTTGGTACAGAAGGGAGTGAGTCCGCTGAGGAATAAGCGGGGCCTCCAGTTCTTTGTGATGGAGTTCCAGCCCTGGGTTGTCGCTGTGCATTAAAGATGAAGCATCTGCCACAATAGCGTCATCTTCACTGCTGCTACCTCCAATCACAGGTTTGACTGGTAGCGTGAGCTCAAGGTTGTGAGTCTTGCTGCTGCCCCGTAAGTTGTTGTGCACTAATTCTGAAATGATCATTTTCTCAAAAGCAGTATCATTCAGACTTAGTCCACAGTCCACAACTTGCACGCTGTCACTATAGTCACCCTTGCGCAGCGAGTAGCTGTTGTTAAAATTACCATTTAGCGGTAGAGTATCCATGGCACTTGTATCCCTGGCATTGTTCAGTGAATGTCCTGAAACAGAAGAGGGGGAGTTATCGTTACTGTCTCTGTTCCTTTCCGAAGAAACTCTACTTCTTTTGTACAAAACTTTTTAATGTCGTTCAGGACAAAGTTGTATTTGAAAGCTAACACTTGAAAAGTGCCAGGCTTTCCTGCATTCCCAACTGTAAACAGTTGCAACCCCTTAGGTAACAGGAAAAAGTGTTAAAAATAATACTGTTTTCCAGGGAGGGAAAATGGCATACAGAGTAATACTTTATCAATTTCGGGAGACAGTAGTTATTAATTGATTTTGGTCAAATCTCTGACACAAAGAAGACTTCACTCCATGCCCTTGCATAGTTAATGCAAAGCAATTCATTAGTGACATTTACATTTTAAAGTACAAGACTATGGTTTATAAAATAAAATTAACAGAATTTGTCCTAAACAACACTAAATTAAAAAGGAGTAAGTCACAATACAAAACTGAAAAGCAAATGTACAACATAAACCCACATAACTGGCAAGCAACTTTTTAAACAACATTCTAACATTTCCTTTTTCTGGAGATGAAGTGAAAAAAAAGAATGAAAACATGGACAGATACAAAAAAGTCATGTTAACAAAGACAGCCATCTCTCATACTGACTGGACCAGGGGCCCACAAGCACCATCCAACATCACGATAGACAGCAGGTGGAATGACTCACTTTGGACAACTCACATCATGTCTGTCTGCTCAGGCTATCTGGCCTAAGAGTAGCTGATATATAAAAGAAAGTAAAATGATTTATTGTAACATGATGAAGAATTTCTAAGCTTCTCAGCAACTTAGTCAGAGCAAGGGTTCAACAAATTAGATTACCAGCAATAGCAGCCTTTTATTTTTCATTTAATATTTATTATTTTGAGTTTTTAGTACTAATAATCTCTCTAATAGCTATGGCCCCAGGCTTCTAGTGGTCAAAGTTTGCCTGCAGCCCTGCAGTCTGCATCAGTCACAGTGACAGCACCGAATGAACCAGCAGAGTCCACTGTACAAGATTGGCCCACAGACACCATGGCCATGGAGGTCAAACGCAGAAATGTTAGAGATTTCTTATGGGTCACAGAAATTAAACCAAGAATCAATATTAACTATGGAATGGGAGAAGGGTGTCAGCCTTGGCTAATATATTTTTACTTCTAAAGGAATGAAGGGCTGGGTAAGTCTGCTGAAGACATGAAAAGAGGTTTAAGAGGGGAAAAAAAACATGGTAACATGCTCTATTTGAATCAGAGTTGTATTTTCTACAGACACATAAACATGTAAACTAAGACATCACAGTGCTTCTCAAGCAAATGAAAAAAAAAAAAAAAAGCCAAGAGAAAATTAAATGGTCTGCACCATGCCAAGTTAGGTTATTCATTCTCAAAATCCTAGAGGGAAAAAAAAAAAATCACAGTCTACAGATAGGTCTGTAAAAAAAAAAAAAAAAAAGAATGAAATGATGTTATTGAAATGAAACTGACCACTGTGAGGCTGCTGCATTGTATGCAAGGCTTGGAGGAGTTTGGGAAAAAATTTAAATCTTGGAAAAAAATATAAAATTTCCCATTTTAGTGCTGACTCCACTCTTAAAGCTGCAGATATCCTAGAAAACGCAGTTTCCTTCCGAAAAAAAACTCTGTATTGCCTGACACAAACTTCATAAGTATCTGATAATTGTTTGTCAAATTATCATTAGCAGAAAACTGAGAAAATGAGGGAAGATTATATTTATTATTTCTATTGTTTCAAAAGACTGTCCCAACTTCCAGAAAAATTGACAAATTTGTATCATGTTCCATGTGCAACAAAATGATTTTGTGAGTTATTTGTAAGGCTTCCTTTAACTTGGTCGATACAATTCTCTAGCTTCATTAATCCATGCATGTGCTTTAATCTTTATAAGATTACTAAAAAAAAATTGGCACTTAAATATCTGAGTGACACATGGCTCACTTGCTAGCATTTGTTTCCTCTGTAGAGGTTCACTGTTTTCAAAAATTTTCTTTTATCACTGCTTGGTAAATATAACACTATAAACTGGATATAATCCAAAAGGTCTTTTCTATGATATACTGCAGATTTAAGACATCTTTGACTGATTTTGAAGAGGTATCTTTTTCTGCCCAAGTTCAGGTAATTCACTTGAAGATTTTCCACAGCCTGTAGCAAGATTACTGTGGGAATGCAGAAATGATAAGTCAATTATTAAGCATTTTGGTTGACAGTACTTCAGGCTTTACAGAGCAAATTATTTCAGCATTGCGTAAACTTAAGTATGGACAGCATTTGCTACAGACCTCTATTACTGACAAACGGCAGTACAGATGGATGTACTGTTTGAATTTGGTAACATTTTAGTTGCAAATTGTGAACCACTTGCCCGCTGAGTCTACTTCATGACTGCTAGTTATGTTTTAATTGTGCCCGTTAAAAATCATGCTGAAAAAATTTACATTTGATAGGCAAAGTTAAGTTTTACTCCCATACTTGTCTCTCTGTAGGTTGCTAGAGGAAAGCATAAGGAAAGTGAAGAAAAAAAAAACAAGAGAATGAAAAGAGAAGCTGCAGTTACATTAAAAAAGAATTTTAAGAAAAAAATGGAAACGAAGTTCTGTTTAATTTAGTGGCAAATATTAATAACAAATAAAGATTATATGCTAGCAGTAATTATGTAAAAACTTTACAAAAATCTTGAAAATTCCATTAATATTAAACATATATAATATATACTTTTATTTAAAAGAAAAATAAGCTATTAAACAACACAGTAATACAGGATGGGTTAGTGACAATCTTTCCCCCTCCCCCAATTAAAATCTATAGACATAAGCTGACTAATATTAACTTTATTCTGAAATTTTTCTTAAGGAAAAAGAAAACTACCATAAAGCTGCACTATACTATAGTTTGGATATATTGATAAGCTGAATGTGGTTTTCTAGAGCTGGGCATCCAAATTATCTTCATTAGCTAATTCATTCCAGAAACAAATTTTGTCAGCAAGCTTTAGAATTAACTGAACAGTATATTATATAGATAGGATACCTCTAAATGATATAAATCTTGAAGATGGGCTCTCAGACCATGTGATGTCAGTCCTGTAATAATATATTAAGATTTATGCCACCTGTGTTAAAAACATGGATAATTATTGTAAATACTATCATGACTGAGATTTTACTATAATATAGTGCAGTTTTAGAAGCCTGGCATAGGCAATACCATAATTTTTTTAACTGAGAAATTAAGAACGTAATAATAAATAAATGGTAACTTGAATATTTTAGAAACAGGGCAAAGATCATATCTCTCTTTAGCAGCAAAGAAAGTAGTTTTATTTGTAAGTAAAGCACACCTGGTGAGTTAAATACAGGAGCTGAAGGGGCATTACATACAACTGTTTCAGCGAGCAATGTGTTATAGGGGTTGTTAGTGCCGTGGGGTCGAAGAAGAGGGTTTGTTAGTAGGTAATTGCCAGTCATTCCTAAAGTAAAAAAACAACAACAACAAAAAAAAAACAGACAAAAGTACATCAGTCTCTTATTTTAGTGTTACAGTTGTAGTAAAGTATTTTTTTTATATTCATCAAGGGTAGTGGACAAGCTGGCAATGGAAAATCTGCTGATTCTGACTGTATTTGAACTACTAATTTGAAGGAGAGAAGGGAGAGGGAAGTTAAATTTCAGCAATTCACAGGTGCTTTCTAAATCCCCCAAGTAAACACCTGCTGAGGATGACATTTACTAATTTTACAAAAGCACTGTTAAACAAAAATGGCAATTAAATGCATAGAGATCAACATTATGTTTCAAGATGTTACTGCTTAATATTAAAAACATAACCACTGAGGCCCAGAAGAGGGACTCTCAAACTTTCAGAATTTACAGGTGTGGGATTATCCCTCATGAAAACATCTGTGTTAATACCAGCTTTGATACAAGCAGGAGGAAAAACAACTTTCACAAACAGGTAGAAAGTATGACACACTGCGAAGAGCTGCTCTTAGTAAATGCAAAAGCACACATGCTGAGAAAAAAAGACTGTACAATGAATTATTAGACCATTCACAAATTCTATCTAACAAGAACTTCCATTATGTAATCTTATTTGCCAGGTTTCAAAAATGAATCATTGAATAATGCATTTACTTTTTGATAGCCAACAGAATAAAGTAAAATACCAAAGCAACACAAGAAATGCCCATTTCTTCCACTCTAACAAATAGCAAACTTTTAAATACTTGCTATGTTTTGCATAACTGATAGAATTTGGATAAACTGTATCTTAAAATTCAGGTTAGCATTGCTACCTCACATACTCCTTTTTTCATTTTAAATGAGAATCTCACTAGAACAACATCAACAGTTTAAAGATGTCATTATGTTTCATTGCAATAAATTCTAACTTCTATTACAAATCAGTACTTCTCAAACTGAAAATACCGTGATAAATTATCTTTCCAAGGATATATACAATACCACATAATTTTTCGTACTAAATTGGAATGTACTAAGCTTTTATTCAAGAATACATGTGTGTCCATATACTCTTTTCTAAATTACTTCATTTCCCACCATATTTTAAGAACTACATTGATTTATCTGATAAATTTAAAGCTGCCACTGTAGACACATCAAATAATACAGAAAAAATTACTTTATAAGCTTTCATTTATTTTTATTTTGTTTATGAAGATTTACTACCAATGTTTTTAGCATTTATTTTTCACTTTTTGAAAGAAAGATTAAAAAACTTAATTTCCATGGTACTATTTTATGCGAATAGTAATTATTCTAATTTTATTAACGGTTTATGAAAAAAAATTTCATAAATGTCTTGTTCAGAAAGGATCAATCTGTACTCCCTAGAATAATATTTCTAATCTGTGGCAAGGTATATTTTCAATAATTACCTTGGAGCTGCATCCTGTTAATGCAATTTAAAATTATATTTTTTGCTTTACATTATTGAGTAAAAGGAATTTATGCGTACTTTAATAAATGGTAATAACTCAAATTTTCCCGATAACTGACCTTGATTAAGTGTTGAAGTGCTATTGATGTCACCTGAGATAAAAGAAGATTCAGACTGTTTTCTCACAGTGTCATTCCACATTCTTCTTATACGACTCTATTAATACAAAACAGCAAGACAAATATGTTTTGTTAGTTTCTCCAAGCTTACCTTATTAAAGGCACACAAAGATTTACCATAAACAACCTATGTAGGATTATTTAGTGGCCTTTAAAAGAATGTGTGTTGTTTCTGGTCTAAAACTAACAATGTCTACTGTTTATTAAGCAACTAAGGGGTATTTAATCTTCCACTCTTAAAAACATGTTATTTTATTGTCTTCTTTAAAAAGTGGAGATGACTGATTATTCAATATATGTTTATTGAGTGCCTGCTACCACCATTGTGCTATATGGCCTTAGGCTATAAAATGATTATGATACACTTCTTAACTCTCCACAAAAAAGGACATTCACAGAAAAAGAAACACTGAAGAAATATTTAAGAAGACATTAAAACCAAAATACTAAAAATGCAAGTATTTGCTATCTAGATCATTATAATGAGGAGACAATTAGTGCATCTGAACAGAACATGTCTCAGCAGGCTTTCTATAAATAAGGTTAATTAAAGATGCTGTCAAACTCTTTGTTACCTGTGTGCCAGAGGAATACCGAGCACTGGTTCTGGTGGTTGATGCCTTCACTGAACTGTGGGGACTCTCAGTTGGGAGGCCTCCACAGCAGTATGAGTGTCTGAAGCACTTGCCATATTCTTTTCTTACCTGCATTGAATAATCACAAAACCAAGGGATTAATATGAACATACTTGCTTCTCCCTAATTAAATGAACAGTGAAGACAACCAAGAAGAATTAAAGTTCCACTAAGACTTACCCATGGAGAAAACAAACTGAACTTGCAAAATCAAGTTCAATTAAAATTACTGAAATAGTCATCAGAAAAGTATCTCTGGCCACTAGATTGGCTAATAGAATCTTTAAAATGTGATATAACATGTAGAAATGCTTTATGTCCTGTTATTGAGTAATAATATATTTATAGTTTTATTCTCTTATACACATAGTAACTCAAAGTTTTTATTTTATGCTAAAAAACACACAAAATGTAGTATTTTCCTTGCTTAATTACATTTGACTACTCTGTAATTCAGTCATTTAAGTTTTATATGCTTCATGTCCTTTTAGGTAGGTCGATACAGAAACCTCTTTTGCTGGATTGCATAGTTCTGTGGGTCTTTATATGACAAGACTACTTTGGCACAAGAATAAAGAAAACAAGTACCTTGATACATTTGCCGCTAATTAGGATGGAATGTTTTCTTCATTTTCTGATGTGTCTAGCTTTAACATTTAGTGTAGAGAGTGTAAGATGTCTATTCACTTCATTAGCACACAAGGGAACTATTTATGCAATTTCCATTCACATTAATGAGTTACCCATGTAATTTCCCTTTTCCCCTGAAGCTTGAATATATGAACACAACAGAAAGTTGTTAGGTCTAAAACAGTTTCAACTAAACCTAAAAAAGTGAAGTCCGAACAACTGCTAAATAATAGGGCCCCATCTAAAGCAGCAATACAGAATTAAGAAAAGAAGGAAAGGTTGCCAGACTGTAGTAGCTATACTGGAATATACACTGTTTTTCTGGTGGATTAGAGCCAGACTGTGAAATTACAAGACAGACAAGAAGAAACTGAATAAGAAAACATTTTTTTCTAATAGGTTACAAAAATCCTCAAAGGCTTTCCCTCAACTCAGAGGTCTATATGCAGTACCTGCCCATAAAGACCATGACTTTGACACTTATTCTTTGCAAAATTAGAAAATTAAAATCACTAGTCTACGGCCATACCACCCTGAACGCACCTGATCTCGTCTGATCTCGGAAGCTAAGCAGGGTCGGACCTGGTTAGTACTTGGATGGGAGAAAATTAAAATCACTAGATGACCTTTTACATCTAAGTGCACTTGAATTTTCATCTTTTTTAGCTTTATTTAATTATACCTATTAGGACAAATAACAATGTGGTTGAGCCTTGAAAGCGTTTTCTTGCCCGAAATACGCTCATTCAAGCAGTAAAAACCATGATTTTAACTTAACCTTTTTATATCATATTCTTCACAGCTCATCCTGGCGTACCCAACTGGATATATCCAAACTAAGTTATACTTCTTTTGAAGTATAACATGATGCTTTTAAAATGTAATTGTTAATCTAAAAAGCAAAGAAGCTCCTAGTCCATCTAATACATGTTAACTATACGAGAAAATAATGACTACCTCACTCCTTTTCTGCTATGTCTATGCTTTGTGTCAAAGATGTTTGGCACAACAGCACAAAAATTCTGAATACACAATAATATGCCTTTATACAAAATGTTCATTTATGTAGGAAATACATAAAAGCCAAAGTAGTTATGAAGGTTACCCCTGTGCAATGTTTAGAAAGTTAAAGTTCATTGTTATTAAATAACACATCATACCTCACAAAAAATCTCAACACATTTAATGGCTGTTAACTGCTATGAAACGCTGTATAACCAAAACAATGGCAATCAAAATGGTATTTTATCCAAATAATACCTTCCAGTGTTGGTTTTTGCCTAATGCCTATATTGCTGTGAATGTACATTATCTGTCAGTATTGCACATTCCACTGTCATTATCTCAAAATTATAGCTTATTCAAAACTGATGGAAGTAACAACACTATCATCTTGTCAGGACTGAAAACATAATAGTTTTCACTTTCACAATTCTATTTCTCTGTTCAATTTAGTGACCAACTACTAATAACAGAATAAAATGACTACATTAGATATGTAGGCAGAGAAAGGATGATACCTAGTGAAAGGTATGGAAATCTTATACTTAAATAGACCCTAAGCAATTCCCTTAGGTTTACATCTTCCTGCTACAGTTTAAGCTTTTCATCTGTAAATTTTGAATCATTTTTGCTGACTTCACTTAACATAAACCAGGGCAAAATAGTAAGTAAGATGTAGGGCACTGAATTATTGATTTTTAGATCCTTTAAAATTACTCAAAAGGTAATAATATTTTGTGTGTCTGGTGCTTTAAAAATTAACAACATTTATCCTTATACTCAATTTCATTGTGAACCAATGCACTGCCTTTAGTGAGCAAAGAATGAGTTTATTTACCTCATATACCCTTTATACCTAGCATTTTGTAGACACTACAAGCAAGGAAGAACTCTTAACCTAAGTATCTAGTTTATAACATTCCCAAACTGAGATCCAGAAAATGACTGGTATTATTTTATAGATTAAGCCTAAATTTTTAAACAGGTATTAACTTATAATTAAAAATATGATGCTCTTTAACAACATGCCAGCTGTAAATTAAAACCTTCTTTATTATACCAATTATATTCAAATCAAAGAATGAGTAATCTGAGCCCCTAGGTATTTTCAATTACTTACTTTCTTTTGGAGAGCACAGTGGAAGATGAAAATGAACACTCCCTGGAAAGCATTAAATATGGTGAAGAGATAGGCCATCACAATAGTCTCCTCATTAATAAAAAGCAACCCAAATGACCAGGTGAGGCCAAGAAGACACAGAAGAGCAAAAGCGCCAAGCACCCAAGACCTGGAAAAATAAAGTGAACTTTTTTTAACAGATTCAATGAGCAAAAAACATGCATCACGCTTAAATGTTAACATATCAGTAGTAGCAGTTGACTTTCTCTATGTTCACATTCAAATTCAACAGCATTTTGGCCTTAACCTTTCACTGATTAAGAAAGAACAATAGCATTTAGTACTGCAGCCTCCAGTGAAAACAGCAACAGCAGGTATGACCTTTTCTTATTCCAGAATAAACAAAGTATCAAAACTATATTAAAATACAAGGTGTAATATATCCCCTATGACTTTGTATTTTATGTGCATTTTGATAAAAGAAATTAAGGAGTGCTTAATTAATTTACTCCTGTATTTTTATTCCTCTGGTATCCTCACATGACACTGAATAATGTGACACATACAGAAAGGTTAAATGGAAGATAATCACTTAACGCCTAAACTTCAGATTCTAATAAACTAGTCTTAGGTGAACCTAAGGTTTTATAACTAAAGCATGAAGAAGCCTAGCTGAAATGGGACAAAAACATGAGAACAACTTCAAAATAAAACAATTTTGTAGAGATTTCATCATGAATAGCTTAAGAAGAAAAGAACTGTAGAAAATAGGACGGAATGAGAAGGATTTAAAGTCAGTGCATTCCATGTCTAACTAATGATCTTACTTGATAAATGGCTTATTATCTTCATAGCTAGAAAGCATTATAAGCAGAAAAGAGAAACAAAATTATTAGACAGAATTAAAATAGAAAGTAATAAGAAAGCATTTATGTATTTTATAAATTAGTCAAAATTAAGAAAGTCAAAACGCAGAGGCAAGCAATTAAAAAATAAAGGCATATTATATAGTTTAAAAATACTATAGCAAATCAGATATTTCAAAATAATTATAAAAATTAAGGGCAATTCATGATATTGACGGATTTGTAAAAAATATAAATCATGCCATAAATTTGTTAATGTAGGGTTCTGCCTTACCCAGGTAAGTCCGTATTATAGTAGCCATCACAAACACGGTAATTACTGGTGTAGATGAGAAGATAGAAAGAGGAAAGGAAGAAAAGAGAGAGATGCTAAAGATTAGCTCTCTCTCTTACCATGCAACATGCAATGAAGCTGGTACTAACCTATCTAAATAATCTAATTTTTAAAACAATTTACCCTTACTATAGATCTGCCATTTTTGACATTAAAAATAGTATTTTTTACAATCACATTATAACCAACTTGAATAAAACCTTCTCAAATTCTAACTTAAAAGGCTCACATATTTTAAAAATAAATGAAAATGTTTCCATGATTTAATGAACAACAGCTATCATTTTTTGTTAATTAGATAACATTTTCTCCATTGACAGAATATAGCAGCTTTTATTCAACATTAAGATAAAGTAAATATTTGTTTAATTAGCATGAAAACAACAGATAATCTTCAAGTTAACAATAGTAATAGAGTAAATTCTCTTAGGAAAACAGGATTAGGAGTGGAAACTGCTCAGAATCCTTAAAGCAAAAAGTCATTTAACAAAACAAACTTAATATAATCATATCAGCCATGCAAATAGGAAAATCGTTTTGAACTGCATTTTAAATTCAAATGAAACTGCTACAGTGATATGGAATTTCCACAAAGCCACTGAAACAATTTATTGGCTCTAGATCAGGACAGTAATTATTATCTAATTTTTGACCAGTGTCAGTGATGTAGTAACAATGAGATTCAACCTGAGGGCAATAAAACTTCATTCTGAATAATGTCTACAGTTGACAGAGGTAGAAATCCCTGTGTTCCCTGTGGAGAATATATTTTACTTAGTTTGTCAAGTATTAAAATTGAAACACAAAATACTTACTTAATGTTTTCCAACCTGCTAGAATCTGGTTTCAAAGTGTTTGAATGCTTCACCATTTTGCACAATGTGATCACCAGGAAGATAATATTTAGCTGTTGTAACAAACAATAAGACCACAATGAACAAAGAGTTAAACAATGACTAGTTCTTGCAAATGTATCAATGCATGTTTATATGGTAGACACTGATACAATTTTAGTTTATGTATGCAATGATCAAGTTGGGTCTACATAAAAGTATGTATGATCAATTCTTTAACAGATCGTTTGACATCAAATTGCAATCTCATTAAGTCAGTATTATATGGAAATGATTAAATAAATTAGAAAACCTAAATTAGTTTCTTTAGCTAGATGTACTCCAGGGCCTAAAAGCCATCTGATGGAAACAATGAAGTGAATTCCTTAGGAGGGGCATTTACATCATGCAATATACAAGAGAAAAAATTGCTGTGTTTGGAACCGTAAGTCTTGGTTGTGAGTCTAGCTCTTGATTATGACACAATAAATGAGGATAATGACATCTGCATGATCTATTCATAAGGAATTGTGAGGATCAAATGAAATAACATATGATAAATGTTTGTTATATAAAGTAAGATAGAGTTTAAATAAGTATGTTTTGCCATATAACTTTTAAAAGCCATCAGTTCTTTTTTTTCCCTATATCTCTGCATTGTAAGGAAGTAAATTCTGACAAAAGGCTGTTTTGAGTCCTTCTAAACATTCAGCTATGCAAATTATGTAGGTGCAAACAAAAGCAAAATGAGGAAGACGGAATCTGACAGAGAAGGAAAGTGAGTGGATTCCAAGAGGTCAATGTGAGCTTGCTCAGAGGAAAAGGAGTTGTGTTTGGACTGAGAGACAAAGGTTAGTGATTTGCATTTGTTTCTAGATACCTGGCAGAATGTTGGAAGAAGACTTCGAAGGCAGTTCCATTATTATGCTCCAAAAATAGAACTTAGCTACCTTGTTCCTAGATTTTTGACATTTTATTTTTAGATTACTTTTTAAAAGGAAAAAAATCCATTATTTTGTGAGCTTTACATGACTTAAGAGAATACGAGAAATAGTATATTCAGAAAGGATGCAATTCACCTATTATAGGTATGAATGAATTTAATTCCTTAGATTATGCAGATAATCAGCATAACTGTGTTACAGTAACATCATCATTTTTACCAAATGGTGATTATAAAATGATCAAATGATAATGTTATTTAATTGATCTTTCACTACTTCTGATTTTATAATTTGGAAAAGTGATATAGGGCAATAAATAAAAATGTCCAAGTTCTCCCTAATGGTAAGTTTAGGAGCAGAGCTAAGGAAAGCCTTAATGTAGGCTGTGTATCAAGTCATTTGTCTACTGTGCCCTATGATTTCTCTTGGATGTAGAACTCTCTCTTAAGAGATAAAATGAGGTGTCGGCAGATAACGTTCTATCCTTTGATGCTAATTACTTAAACACAAAAATGGTTCTTTATTTTAAAAAATTTAAAAATAATTTCTTAAAGTACTTATCTAGAGAAAAAGTAAATGTAATTGTAGAAACATTATCCGGCTTTATTTTTGTAACATTCTAGTTGGTCACAATATAAATAAATGCTTGAATTTTAGGAGATACTACAATATGATAAATTTCATTCAACAAATATTTCTTGATCTTGTTCCATACAAGGATGTGCTTATTTTTATGTGGATGAATAAGACACAATTTCTGCCTTTGAGAAATTAGAGAGATCCTTCTGGTAGTGCAGTAAATATCTGATTGGGTTTCTAAAGAATCATGGTAAAGTGTTATCTCTTAATTTTTTTTTTAAGGAAAATCAAGAGTTTTTTTTTTTGTTTTGTTTTGTTTTTTTTTTTGTTTTTTTTTTAATGCAATACTAGCTTTCACTGGTAAAATTCAAGAATGGTTAAAAACAAGAATTCCATAAATATCCTAAAAGTAAACCAAGAAACCAAAACCCAAGTAAACAAATAAACTGACTACAAAGGGTAAGATGGATGCTTTGCAGATTCACAATTAAAATTCTCCCTTTGTTTTTGAATGGTCCGATAAGAACAATTTACTATCTTTTATCCTAAATCTTCTGAATCTAAGGTTTCTTTTCCCCTCCTCCTCTTAAACAATTTCTTGAAGTGTATAGGACCATAATTTGGCGTTCTTAATTTTCCAAGCATATTAATTATCTCCTTGGGAACAAAATATTAGTAGTATTAAAACATTCTGGAAATAAAGAAGTTATTCATTATCCACTACAATGTATAAAATTTGTAACACAAGAATGTGAATGTGGAAAAATGAAATGTGGACATGTAAAGTATTATATTGCAAAAAGAAGAGGAGTAGAAAATGATAAAATCTTGGAAGTCAACTCAGAAGAAATATTTTTCAATGGCAAAAATCAGGGACAACTTTCCAATAAAACTGACATACTAAAATAAATCTACCAATATAAAAATACAGTTAAGGCTTAAGTATGATAAAGTCATTTTTCCTAGTTAATACTAATCTAGTTACATTTGCCATAGAAAACTTATTTCAATCCTTTAAAAACAGACTGTTTAATGCATTTTTTCCTCTTTTGCTCCCCTCACTTAACTGAGGTTTTCAACATTACATGTGTGTTTAATTTATCTTTCTAGTTACACATATAATACATTCACAATGTAAGTTCAGAAAATAAAGAAAACTACAGAGGAAAAAGCAGTTACAATCCTATATTCAGAGGTAGCAGGCAGCACTTGTATAACCATTTTACGAATAATTCAGATGTATACTGCCAAAAATTAATTCGCTACTTTCATGTCAGTGCTGGGATTCAATATAGTATGGTCTGGGCTCCACAGCCCACAGACTTCCCATATTAAAATTAACCAATTTATTCTAGGTGAAAAAAATTAGAAGTCTCATAACAAAACAAAGATATACTAAAGTCTATCTTTAAAAGGCTCTATTTCTATAAAAAGTAATCCAACTTAAAAATCACTCAGATGAATGAAGATCAATAAATTGACATATAAAATACTGCCTCAAAGAAATCCTATTTATGTTATTTACATAATAGGTATGCTCATCAAATGACTTCTGTCTCATGGATTTTCCAAATTAACAATTTCCTTTGTAAAAACACTACCATCCTACAATCAGCAACTGGCCAAAACACCCACGCTTCTACTCCCACTAGTCAAGTTGCATGTGTAACAACAGTTGGTTGTGTTTTTTCCAAATATGTTTATGCCATTTATACTTTTACATTGCTAAGTATCACATAAGCTCCTAAATCTAAGTGCAAATATAAGAATAAAATTGTAAAAAGCTGTTTCTAACATACTTAAAACTAAATGTTTCAAAAGACTTGAAAGTGACTTTCTTTAAAGACGACTAGAAGTATTGGAAAGATAATCGTAACTTTGAGGGATTTTTGCACTCAAATTACAAGTGTCCGAATTCTTCAACTCGAAGAAACTGAAAATAAAACTTTTAAACTAATACACTATTATTTAGATGTCAAGAAATTTACAGTTAAACCCAACACTAATTTAGCTGCTAAAACATGACTTGAAGGCATACAAATAATGAGGCAATGGTATGTTGAAGAGGACAAAATACCATCATTTCAGGACAAAGTAATTATGAAATAAAGAAAGCATGACACATTACAAATCTTAAGATGGCAAAAAATAAAAAATAAATATGGGATTTTTCTTTTTCCCAATTCAATAAAGAAAAATTTCACCCATACATATTATTTACTAGTCTTATTAGGGAAACACGAAAATTTTTATATCATTTAGATACCCAACAATTTAGGTTACCACCAACATATATGACAATAAAATACTTTATGGAATTAAACAGAATATATACTGAAGCATAGATACATTTTATAAAATGTGGTTTTATAGTTATCTTATTTTCTCCAATGTTAAAAAATGTAATGCTAAATTTTAGTTTGATAGAATAAATATTGTTGCTGTAATCTTTTTCAGGAGGCAATACATTCTGATAATTATAATTTGGCAGGGGAAAATATTCCAAAAATTTTTTTCCTCTTTCTTCTTGTTTTCTTAAAATACAACTGTGGAAATGAGAACAAGAGGCAGAGAGGCAAATAAACACAACTTTGATAAAAATCTATAGTCTTTTTAAGACAAAAAGGGTAGCTTTCAAATAAACTACTGGCTGCAAATCTGAGTTCCTTTCTTCTTTGCATTTTTCTCATTACATAAATGGCTCTTTCTAGCAATATACTTCTGTGCTTTTTTTTCTGCCTGGTTCAAATAAGTGATTTCTTTTTCCTTACTTTAATTTTTGCTCAATTTGTTTTCCTGCCTTTGACGTACATTTACAAAATAAAATAAATCACAGCCATTAAACATGTTATTTTCCCTATTTCTCAATGGAAGGCAGGCAAAGAGGCAAGAAGAGAACAATGTCTCTACCATCCAAATGCTGCTCTTCTCCTGAATTCCAATGCAGCCACTCTTTGCCCCTCTCGCTCTTTGTTTTTATTTTCATTGTAAATACCACGAAGTTTAAACATAATATTTTGGCATAGGTTGAAAGTCTCCATGCATCAGTGAGAAAGGAAAATGGTGGCGGTACAGCTGCATACACAAACATTTGTCTAAACTTGGTTAAGTACATGCAGTTACTCAATTATCCACACAGATGCCACTATTAGTAAATATAGGCTATTAGGACTGTGGTACATACCTATGACATCCCACCAAGCTAAATGTCCATGCTAATAATTAATTTTGGAGATGAAACAACTCATTTAAGAATTAATCAGATTTCAGCTTAGCTCTGGGCGTGTGTGTGTGTGTGTGTGTGTGTGTGTGTGTGTGTGCAGGTTTGTGTGTACAGTTAAATGGATGCTTATCTCTTAAGATAAATCTCTGTGAGTTGAGAGCAAACTGAGAAACAAAAATTTCTTATTCAGCCAAAATGGGTAAGTCATCAAAATGGAACATTTCTTCCCCCTCCCACTGACAAAGATCACTCTTACCTATCCCCAAATAATAATTTCAAAAATTATTATTTATAATAATCAGTCAATATAATTTGCTGATAAAATTCAACATTACTTAATGATATGGCACAGCTAAACATCACCCATATTGATGAACATGAAAATACAAAAAAGTTTTAAAACAGAAAAAGGTACCACAGATTATAGGAGTGCATAGTTTGTTTTATGGACATCAACCTGCTCAATTGAATCACATCCATCTGAGCTTAACAGCTTAAAATTCATTCCACAGCTTGCAGTGCTGACATGGATATGATAAGACAGAAGAACAGAAACATCACTGTGAAGTAACCTAGCTGAACTGCACATGTTCTGACCCTTTTTGTCCTCCCTGGAGCTTTTGCTACCTGGCAAATGCAACTCTAAAACCATACTTGTATCTCCAGATCTTTGCTGTTAGCCAAGCAGAAACCTATTTCTCCCTGGGACTAGCAGCCAGAGAGGTGTTCTCTGAAGAAGGCTTCTAAATGAGTGTGTGAGCTGAACTCTTACTGAACTGAATTAATTATTAACGATGCAGATGGAGCTGTCCAAATGATAAGAACAGCTCCTGACGTGTCATGATCCAAGCTTTCATTAAACCATTTCAGGCATACTAATGGTTTCCCACTGCTCATTACTTACCAGCACTTTTCTCATAGATATAATAACTCTAGTGCCTGTAGGCAAGACATTCTATAGAAATGCAGAAGTAGGAAGTTTTATCTTTCTTAGCGTATTATTTTTCTTCATAGACTATTATTTAGAATGTACACCTATTTAATTCAACTAAGTGAAACAGTTTCAATTCAGAAAAATTAAAAATGCAAAGCTATACTTTCTAGGAATAGCAATAGGTAATTTTTGTTATGAGAATATTCCTTAAAAGGATACTACACAGTGCAATCTATATTATTAAGATTTGTGTCTGAATGGATTTTTAAATGCCTTATTATCACCAGAGGGAGATGTATATAAATATATTTTCCACACACATACACTGTATAATCATATCATATCTCAATTTAAGTTAGATACTCTTTTGCAAGACACTGTTTTGTATTCCTTTACCACTCTTAATCTCTCTGTTGGGAAAATTAGAGAGCAAATCAATTGCAGGAGAATTCCAACAAGGTCTGTACTGGGATTGCTACCTACTGGGGTTTTTGTTTGTTTTTAAGTTGAGAATGCTGTTGAAAATGCCCTCACATCTCAACCTGAAGGATTTGGGAGAGGATAGTAATGACAAGACTTATAAAGTAACAGTGTGCTCTACTATAAATGAACAATATAATAAAATGTTGTTTACCCTTTTTTTCTTACTAAAAGCTGAGTAGGTTGAACATTTATTTATTTTGCTAAGTGAAATATTTTTTAATGATCTGAAGTCAGTACTTATCTTCAGAAATATCAAATAAGCAAAACTATGGTATAAAAGAAGTAAACATGTGACAGCCTCATAGGCAAAATATCCCTAAAGCAGTCTTTACATTTTCAACATATAAATGTGTTTGATGAAGGTCTTTGGGGAAAATGGAAGGTTATGTCTTTAAGGATCATGCCTCTTCATGTCAGCCATTTAACTCTAGACTCTAGATAGGCTTAGGCTGTGTTAACATATGAACACCAAGAACAAAATCTTGGGCAATCATCAGATTTAGTAATTCTGATAAGAAATCAGCTTTCCTAAGAACTTGAGAGTGTTTTACTGGTTTAATTCATACAGGCATTCATCTCAAATATTCATTTCACTTTGTATAAGTAATTGTGTAAAATAATTAATTTTAATGACAAACAAATATACACTTGAAGTGGTTTTAAGTTTCCTTCAAGTAGTAAAAATTTTTCTCAATCTTATGAACCACTACTTAACCATGAAAATATCCAGGAGATAATTTGTGTTACTTTTTGGAAAAAAATTTTAAAAATCCCTAAGATAGGTAGTATTTATGCATTTATGTTTCCTTTTCAGAGTTTATGACGCCCATTTCTATCACCATAGTGCTATAACTGAGCAAAAGTTTTTTTTTTTTTTTTTTTTTTTTTTTTTTTTTTTTTTAAAGACAGGGTCTCACTCTGTTGCTGGGGTGCAGTGGTGCAATCATAGCTCACTGCAGCCCCGTGTTCCCAGGCACGAAATATCTTTCTGCCTCCGCCTCCCGAGTAGCTGTGACTACAGGCATGTGCCTCCACAGCCAACTAATTTAAAATATTTTTGTAGAGGTGAGGTGTTGCCCAGGCCCAAGTGATCTCAAATTCCTAGGCTCAAGTGATTCTCCTGCCTCAGCTTCCATAAATACTGGGATTACAGGTGTAAGCCACCCTGCCCAGCCCTGAGTATAAGTTTTAAATACCAAAGTCTAGATACTATAGCTACACTCTTTTATTTCAACTATATTTCAAATGTCACTAAAAGTAATGTAAGAAATTTAAAAATATCTTCATGTCATTATCTTTAACATATCAAATTCATTTAAAAATACTATTTCTTAAATTAATATTTTCATTTGGTATCTTACGTCTTATGCTGATTTAATAGTCATTTGTTAATGCAAGCTTAAACAACTTTTTATACCCTAAAAATAACTGAGGATGTGGATATTCATTTAAAAGTATTAAATTACTATATGGAAACTGAGATAATGAAAATTAAGGTAATGTTCTTTCACTTTCCCGACACAGTCATTTAATTTAAAACATGGCCTATATGTAAGTATATTTTATAGATTACAAAGTGATATTTTAGCATGTTAAATGAGAAATGAGAAAAAATACTTTTTGGAGGAAAGATTTTCAGATATATTAATTAGCAAGTGTATAAAAGCTCAATGATGGTATAATACATAAAATACACTATTATCCTGTGAGACAGGCAAGTTTATAAATCTTTGAATGTATAGATAGATAAACAAACAATAAAACAAATTTTTTTGTTTAAATAGCACTGCTAAAGCAGCAAGCTCAAAAGCAAGGAAAAACAGAATCTGCTTACCAGAATAATGAATGTAACAGGTCCAATGAAGCTCCATATAAAGTAGTTATCAACATGAAGCCAGCAACTATTACGAAAAGAATATACGTTAGTAGTTTCTATGGAACCTCAAAAATCACAAGGAAAATAGGAGTTTAAAAATCTAAAAAACAAAACTATCTCTACATTTGCCATTGAAAATTCATTTATCATGTGCAAGAGCCCTAATACTTCTGAGTTGGCTTTGACTTAACAAAGGATAGTAATTTATTTACTTTAAGCTGCTGGTTTTGTATTTGATAAAAGCATACAAAATCATGCTTGTATGGGGGAAAAAATAAACACCATCCACCACTAAATCCTTAAGACCTCTCACTTCCCTAAGAAAGACTTGAAACTCAATATTACAAATTGTCTCATTTTAATAATCTTCAAATTATTAATTAATTAATTTAAAATAATTTTCAAAATTTGCCTTTCAGATCTGTCTGAGCTAAAGTGCTTAACCCTATGGAATATAACAGCCCCCCCCCCAAAAACGGTTCCAATGTTATGTTTGTTGCAAAACAGTGTAGCAGAAATATAATACCTCCACTAGGAATGGATAAATACTAGTAAAGGAAATCAAAGCACTAAACTCACATAGTATTAGAGCAAATGATGCATAAACTTATTAAGACAGATTTTACTTAGTGGTTCATTTTTCATATAACATGGAATCCCCAATGAATTTCTTTTATTTGTCTTTCATCATCTGTACAGTCAGAAAGCTTTCTTTAGTCCAAAGAATCTTTATATAACTAATTTTATCAAAGGAAAAAAAATAAACGGAATTAGAAGGCGAATTCATGCCTCTAGCAAACAAAATCCTTAGAAACATTACTATGCCTACCTTCTGTCACTTTCTGTAAATATCTATATTTTTATAAACGAAAGACAGTGACTTATTTTAATCCTTTCAAACTGCCTGATAAAATATTATCAAAGTAAAACATATGGGATGGAATGTGCTACTGTCACAACTCAGAATGAGAGTTAGCTAGAGGGTCGGCTGCACAAAGAGAGTTAATGAAGCATTAGCTTAACACTGAGTGGTTAAACCTGTCAGATGCTTTAAGTTCAGAAGAATTTTTACTTAATATCTTTCTAAGGCCAAAAAGTTATTTACTTTTTCAATTTGTTTCAGGTCAATCTTTTGTGTTATAAAGAAAGTCCATAATTTAGAATCTGCCTTGCCAGAGTACAAATCCTCTGAACCCAGAAAATTACAAAAGATTTGATTGTAATTTGTGCACAGTATGTCCATTCTCTTACCAATAAAGCTTTCAGATGCTATTTTAATCTGTCAGGGACCCTCACTGACAGCTAACAGGCTTTAAAAAATTATTCACTTGAAAAACACTCAGGTCGCTTGCAATTACTTACGCTTTTTCTGTTCCATAGCTCTTATAGTCAATAGCAGCTGAAACTCCAACCACTGTGGCGGGAAACAAGTAACCAGCAACATAGTAATATTTTTTCCTTGAATATTCACTTTCAAAAACTTCAACTAACATTAGATAGAGCTGCACACCTTCTAGGCACATCCAAGCAAAAGCCGCCAAAAAGAAAAAGTGCAGAAGTCCTGCAAATATTGGGCATGCAATCTACAGGGGGAAAGAACAAAAAAACAGAAAACTCATGAGTAAAAACAGTCCACTCCAAAACTATAAAATACAAAGAGATATCACTATGATTTTTAAAAATACATTATTCAGAGTATACTAATGCTTCCTCAAAATATTTTTTTCATAAATGGAAAAAGCTAAAAACCCTGCCTAATTTGAAGACTATCATGTTCATGGAGTATAATGCCAAGTGTGCTAGATTTCATCAAGGTAGAACCTTACCATAATATTTTTAGTGAAATTAAATATCAAGAAAGCTTCATAACTTCTTTTTGTGAATTATCTGTTATGAAATCTGAATATTCGTAGATAATTTACTTCACAAGTCTTTAGGAGTGATGTTTGCAAATTTATTATTTCTATTTTTTCTATAATTGAATTTAAAAATTTTGCTTTAATGACAAAATCCTCGCTCTAATTACCTAGGATTATTTTCCTGTCATATCTGGAGCATCCTTAAATTATCCAAGTGCAGATGAATATAGGGTGAAGCATTAACTAATTAAGTTCTGTTTCTGACATTAAGCCCTCATGATGATGAATAAATTGCTCTGAATACAAAGAAAGGATCATTGGTCAGAATGACTACCTAAGCAAAATAAGAATTTTAAAAATAGGATCTTTCTATTTCTGTATCCCCAGAATTCTTCTATTAAAATTATATGTCTTACTAAAATCCCAGAAAAATTCGACTATATTTTAATATACAAAATGAATTAATTCATAATAATATTACTTAATAATTGGGCAGTCTTTTACCACTGTCTTTCAATATTGCCACGTGAATTATATCAAGTTACAAGGTCAAACATTAATATCAGTATCACATGTTGACTCACACCTCTTAAAATAATTTTCAGAGATCTAAGGTCAATTAATTCAATTGGTGCTTACCGCATATTTTGTCTTATCAATGCCTATTAGGAAAATAAATTCAGCAATGAAAAGGTTGATGCAAAGGTTCTTGTGAATAGTATTTCGGTCGCTCTGTAGGCCACGGAAAAAGCAGAAGGTGAAGATGCAGATAGCCAGACAAACAAGGGAAATGACAATTCCCACCCAGGTGATCACTGTAAGAAGTAATTCATGAACTCCATCTTTATACTGAAAATGAAAAGATATGAGGAACATTAGTATTCCTGCATTACATCAACTAGAAGACAGCTTTCACATGTACAGCTCATCGTTTACTGCTGAATTCTTTGAAGAATACTATTCATATGTGTTCAAAAAGGGCTCAATAGTAAAAAGAAATTTTGATCATATAATAGCGTTCAACATTATTGCCTTTCATATTTAAAAAATGATCTACATGAGAGGAAGATTTTACCTAGAAAACAATACAAGAGCCTGATTTCAAAATATAACTGAGTTAACTATATAAACACATGGAGACTACATGACAGAATAAAGAATACTTATTCATGATTAAAAACAACTGACATTTTAATTATTTTTTCCAAGCTAACACATAAGCCAAGTTTTAAGTTTTTATTTCTCCTTGGGTTTTTGTATGTTTACATATTGAGAGTTGAATATACAACATATCTGAGACTACACTACTTAAAATATTTTTGGCTACACTTCTTAAAATATTTTTGTCTTCTGGCCCCCATTCTCTTAATCACAAGAAACAATATTGAGACATATTCCAGGAGCCATTTTGACTTTTCAAAAGATGAAGTTGTCAAATTAGACTCAAACATTCAAGATGGGAAGGGCATCCTAAACTCTAGAGCCTTCTTTTTGTATGACCTATTGCTGCTCATTATTTAAATCTTCTGTTGCCTCTACCCAACACCTGCCACAAGAAGGAAAACTTACAAGTCTATAAAGTTATAGCACATGATTTTGAGAAGTAACAATAACAATGCAAAGACTTATTAAAATTTATGGAGAGTAGAGAAACAATTAGAAATCAACATTACTTTGTTTGCTTTTCAGTTACGATTAGCACCTAAAGAAAAGGACTATTATACAAGCTATTTTGAATCTCTGAGGTTTTTCTCTGCTACTAAGTAGAAGCACAAATACTTACTGCAATTTCCCTGTGGGCCATGAGAATTGCAAAATTGGTTAGGTGGCTGCATGCACATGTTGTCCGAGTTTTATTAGTGTCGACCAGCTTGCAGCCCTGGGTAGACCAATATCCCATCATAGTTCTCTCTGAGTAGTTCCAGAAGGAGCAGTTTGCATTGAAATAATTGTCAGGCTGGGAAATAAAATGACAAGGTAAAATTAGGATTTTATACTCTAAGATGGCAGTAGCAATTGTTTAATATGTGTAAAAGGTAATTTAGATTAAACTTTGCATGTTTCAGACTATAAAGTTTTTCATCAGCAAAATTGTGGACTATGTTATACAAGGTAGATACCTAGCTTAAAAGGAGCTTTATAGTCCGAAACACTCTATAAAGTGTACTCTAAATTACCAAGACCCGTTTTACACAATTTCAATTTCCATTTTATGATTTTACATACTGATGGTACATTAGAATCATTTTTTTTCCTTTCTGATAAAATGAGAGCCATAAATTTGTTCTGAGAAAATTATATACGAACCAAATGTTTTAAAAATCCACGTTCTATTTTGGATCTATTTTTGGTTAGTTCTAAGAGATACACACTAGTGATTGTTAGTACCTTGAAGCTCTTAAGAGTCAACAACTGAAGCAGGTATGAGTACCACAACCACACAAATTAATTTTTTTTTGCCAATTTAAAGATCCACTTTATCTGTGGGCGTTTATTCACTCTACTTATCACAACAGCCAAACATTCTGTAGACAATCTTCCAATACAGTATAGGTACTGAAGTATCAACTTGCATTCTAAGGCACAGCAGAGGAATCACATCTTCTCATTATTATTTTTTTTTTAAGCACACTACTTGGTAACAGCTGTGTCAAATATGATCAGTAAAACTAATGAAAAAAATTCTGCCACACAAAGGCAGAGCCCTAAGAGTTAATAAATACTCAGCTACCCTACTGCTAAGGTAAGGGTTAATTTTCATTTGAAAACAAATTAGAATCATTTACATTTTCCTGTTGATTACTGAATTAGCTTTCATTAAGAATACACTTAAGTTCCAATAATCACTGAACCAAGCTCATTTAATTTTATGTTCACAGACTTAAATAAACTTGTGTCTCTGACCTAGTCCAACATTTAAAATTCAACTGGAAAATGGTCTTGTCTTTCCTCCCTCTCATCTCCCCATTTCTCTCCCCCTCCCCAGCACCTCAGTTTTGCTTTCCTTTCCTTCTGCTTTTATATAACCTTCCACTACTTCATTAGCATACATTAACTTACATCAATGTGTGGCAGGGTGAAAAGCACAGGATCAGTCAGGTATACTCGGCTGGACTCTTTATTGATTGAAACTGAAATGACGTGGGAATTCACTGCAATGGTGCTATTACGGCCAATAAAGTCAGCACCCAGTTTAATGGTTGCATTTTCTGTACTAAGGAACTGTCCCAGACTCCGGTAAATGATAAACACCAACTTTGCAAGCCCTAGGAAGGTAAAAATAGTCACATGATTTACAAAAAAAAAAAAAAAAAAGTTTATTAATAACTAAGACAAAATAAGAATAAAATGATAAAGTCCTAAGGCACTGTTTTAAGTCTGCTTTTAAATGGTAAGCCTTTTTTTGTTTTATAAAGAGTCAAATCCATTTTAGGATTAACAGGTTTTTCAACAACAGCAACAAAAACTGGCAATTTTTAAAAGACTTCCATCTTACCATTCCTGCTGTTCTGTTTGACGGTATTTGCAGAGAGTTGGATTGAGCTGCCTGCACCTTTGATGCCCAGAGGAAATTTAAAGTCTTGGATCTGTCCTTCTGTACTGAGTACAGCAACTTCCAGGACTGGATGAGGCAAAACATAAAGCAGGGAAAAGGAGGATTCTTTAAATTTAACTAAAGAGGCAAACGATAACTGTCTGGAAACTACTGTTTTCTTTTTGTCGACTTAACAAAAGTTTACTGTGACAGGTTTCAACAAAAATCATGAACAAAAAAACAAATTAATCCAAATTATTTAAGAGTCATAAATATTCACTTCTCAAAACAATTTTGTATTGTCACTCTAACACCTTCATCATATTTTATCTCTTTTGTCATAAACTAATACCAATCTGTTAGCCTAAATGTATGAACAGTGTATGAATAAATAGTATGTAACTTTCAAGGTTTTATATTTAAATCATGAAGCTAAATAAAAATATTTCAAATTCTTATTTTTTGGCTCTGTGTATCAAGCAACTTTTCAATGACCATTACTTGACAGTGGCAAAACTAATATGAAGTACAAATCTAAACAGCTTTATGGCATCTATTTCTATCTATGATCCATTTTAATATGAAAAATTATACAGGTCAAGTTTGCAGTAATACATCGTTTTTCTAATTTCTAAAAATAGCAAGCCCAGAAGAATATATTTATGATGAAATGTCATTATGTTAGAACTTCCCATTAATTCTCACTAGTAACCATCAATTTTTACATACTCAAATTGGGCAGAAAAGAACCTACAGGCCAAACCTGGTATGCCATTTGTTTTTGTAAATAAAGCTTTATTGGAACACAATCATGCTTATTCAATTGTATATTGCTTATGGCTTCTTTAGCGCTACAATGCCAGTTAAATATTTGCAAGAGAGGAGGCCACCATGGCTTGCAAGGCCTAAAATATATACTATCTGGATCTTTACAGAAAAAGTGTGACAACCACTGTAGTCTAAACCAAATTTCAAAAATTCAAACCAAGTATTGAAATTGAAAACCACCCAAGGAAAACAAGTCAATACAAAACACTGAGAACATCTACCTATCAACATGCCAATGCTAACTTCATTTCAAAAATATAATTAATAGTAATCACTGTCAAAACAAATGTTTACTGTCTACTGGAAATCCCGATACAGATTGCAATTATTGTACATTTACATTCATTTAGATTTTAAAACGAACGGAAAAGAACATTGTTTTTACAGGAGTTAAGTGTCCTGTATTAATAATCACAATATTAACATTTTATTGATGAAATCTAAGGAATTCTATTAAAAATTCATTAATTTCCGACACCGGAATTTTAAAAATAATGTGCATTATGTATTCTTAAACAACGTTCAAAAAATACAGTCCATATATATTTTTTTGAATGTCACCCTCTATAATGTCTGTATTATTGCACAGCTATTCACCTACAATTCCCTTTTCCTTTTTACAAAAATTATCTCATATCATTGTACAGTAATTCTTGGACACTATTTTTTTATCTTGTGCAACTTTGTTTTGTAAAATACATCTATATTTAGCTGTAAATATAAAAATATAACATTCATAAATTTTTATAAGTTATTACACCACATGTCAAACCCCTGAAATACAAATTTATAAAAAGCATCATGTAACTGTTAGAATTCTATCAGTTGCAGAAACTGGTTGATATACCTAATTACTGATTTATGTTTGAAAAGATTAAGCAGATGGGATGAACTGTTGTCATATCAGACTCTGTATGTGGGGCAGGGAGCAAAGGCGGGAAGAAGTTTGATGAAAGTATCTGATTCTTCCACACACTGTAAGGAGCTATCATTAACCTTAACAAGACAGGACGAAAAAAGAAAATCCTGTGAGTTTTCATGAACCATCCCAAATACAGATATACATGTACAAAGAGTTAATTTCATTAAACAAATGCTTATCAAACTTTATTTTCACTAAACAGAAATTTACTTATTAGAGTTTAAAAAGTAATGTTCATAGTAAAGAAAAAGTATGATTTTTTAAAAGGAGTAAGATCATGACTACAGATCTTAGTAAATATTTTAAGCTATTTAAGATATTCTCATAAGAAAATGTAATAATGAACTTTATACCAACAAATAATTTGTATCAATAAATTTTTAAAAGGCAATAGAAATTTTCCTAGAAAAATCAAACTGACTAAAAGAAATTAAAAACCCTAATAGTTTATGACCATTAAAAACTCAACTGATAAATACACACTGAATTTTAAGTAAGATTTCTATTTTCTGAAACAGAAAACAGAAAAAGATGTGTCCTAACTCATTTCACAAAAAATTATACTATACTTTCAGTCATTAAAATGATGCAGGAAAATCTTTAATAAAATATACATACACTTTAAAATATCCTGGACAAATTAATTACTAATTTAGGTTTTTAAAAGGCCTAGAGAAATTAATACATTAGAAAATATATTCCTATAATTTGTCAAATACATTTTTAAAAAGTATTCACAGAAAGAATAAATTTCGACAACCATTTAATGTCAAAAAATCTTTACAAAAAATAGGGAGAAAAATTCCTTGACCAGATAAAAGTTTTCTTATCGGATAAAGGCTAAACCTTTATCTATCCAAAACCTATACAGCAAATTATAGTGTAAAACTCTAGAAGCACCCCTTTTAAAGTCAAAATGATCTCTATCACAGGTTTTATTCAGCACTGTACTAGAGGATCTAGCTTAGTAATTCAAGAAAAGTAAATAAAAGGTATAAAGAAAAAACAAGTATTATTCACAGTAAACACAATTAACTGCATAGTAATCATGAGGGACTCTAATGATAAATTATCAGAAGTACTAACAATTTAGCAAGGCTGTTATGAGCAAAATCAATTGTGTTTCTATACACCAAACAACAAAAAAAATGATAAATTATCAGAAGTACTAAGAATTTAGCAAGGCTGTTATGAGCAAAATCAATTGTGTTTCTATACACCAAACAACAAAAAAATTAGAATATAATTTTAAAAGTGATATTATTTATAATAAAAACAAAAGTATTAGTTATCTAAGAATAAATCTAATTTTTAAAAAGTGCAAGACACTAAAAATAGGAAAAATACATAACTTTATAAGAAGACCTAAGACAAAATGAAGAAATACGCTACGGTCTGATTCAGGAGAATGCAACAGTTTAATCTGGAACCTCTTTCAAAATCAATCTACAAACTCAATCCAATTCTAATCAAAACTTTAACAAGATTTTTGTGTCTGGAATTTGACCCACTGATTTAAAAATTCATATAGAAGGGACACGCCAAAAAGCAGCTAAAGCAGTTCCTCAAGGAGCAAGGCTGAAAGACTCAAGAGATACTAATATTACGAAAAAAACCAAAGCAGCAAATAGCAGATACTGCTAACAGATAAGATATCATTTCAAACCATCAGGGAAAGAAATGGATTACGCACTAAACATATACAAAGAACTGGTTATTCATATGGGGAAAATCAACTTAGCTACCTCTCTCATATAATATCATAATTAAAAATAAATTTCAGATAGATTAAAGACATAACTGTAAAAAGGCAGAGGTTTATCATTTACAAGGGAAGTATAAAATCCTTATAAACTCAATTTAGAGAAAATTTTCCTGAGTAGGAAGCCAAAAGGAAAATATTTCTTAAACAAGATACCAAGAGAACCAACCCTAAAAGAATAGACTGATAAATCTGACTTATTATGTAAAACAACAGATTCCTTATAAAAAGATAAAAAGAGGAAGCCCAGATTAAATGTCTGTAAACTACATAATCTTCACAGGATTACTGTCCAGTATATATAGAAGTATAAAGAAAAAAAACAAACAGGAGAAAGTTGTGGACAACAAATTCATATGAGAGAAAAACGACATAGGTAATAAATCTGTTAAAAAAACAACAAAAAAAACCCATGAAGCAATCAGTAAATTGCTTAATTTAAATTAAACAATAATGCAACCAATTTGAACTCATTCGATTGACAAAATTTATGTAATTAATAAAATGTTTGCAAAACTAGTAATGGTATTACTGGTGAAAAAGTAAACTGGTAAAAGAAGGTAGAGAACAATTTGGCAGTATTCAGTAAAGCTTAAGGTGGATACGCTCTACTGCTCAAAAACTCTATTTCTATGTGTGTGTGCGTGTGTACACATGCACACAAATGTATGTGTGCATGTATGTCTAGAAAGGCACACATTGGAGGAAGAAGGCATAAAAAATTTTCATTACAGTTTTCCTTATATCAGCAAAAAAGTGGAAGCCACTAAAATGTCTATCAGCAGTATAATAATCCTGGTGCATTCTTAGAAAAATAGATCAAATTAACTACAGATATGTATGTCAGCATGTGTAAGTATAAAAAAATAAAATGGTAAGGGAAGATTATAGAATTATGGTCACACGTGGTGGCTCATGCCTATAATTTGAACACTTTGCAAGTCTGAGGTGGACATATCACCCGAGGTCAGGAGTTCGAGACTAGCCTAGCCAAAATGGTGAAGCCCCATCTCTACTAAAAATACAAAAAATTTAGCCAGGCATAGTGACACATGACTATAGTCTCAGCTATTTGAAAGTCTGAAGAAAGAGAATTGCTTGAATGCAGGAAGTGGAGGTTGCAGTGAGCCAAGATCGTGCCATTACACTCTACACTGGATAAGAATGAAATTCCCTATCAAAAAAAAAAGGAGAAGAAAATTATACAATTACATTTATAGAGTGAAATTAATGTTAAAAACATGAAAACTTTTCAATATATACACTTACGAGGCAAATTTTTTAAGCTTATTAATGCTAAATAATAAAGATGACAGCTATCTCCTTCCTGATCATATCAAATCCTGGGAACTTCCACATTATCTACGATTTTCTTTTTCCAAAAAAATCTGAAGCAAATATAGTAAAATACCAATATGTGGCTCAGCTGGGTAACTGGTCCCCAGATGTTATGCTATCCTCTGTACTTCCTGTATGCTTGAAATTATATCTGCCTTATTCAATAGATTTTCTGAACAGGAATACACTTGGTTCATTGGAGAACCATTCAGAGCCTCACTCAGCCAATAAAATTCTGTAGACAGAATTTTAATATATTTCTTTCTTTGTTTCAAATTCCTCAGCAAGTAATGCCTGTAATGAGAGGAAAGAGAACAACTATGACCTCTGCTGGGAGATCTGCACCTTAATGGCCAGGGGCTGCTCCATGAGCCTGGGTCCCAGAAGAAAAGCAACATGGAGCAGAAATGAAGATGACAGGAAGCAGAGCCGAAGCCCAGCCTCAACAGCTACGCAGCAGGAAGGAGTAGTAAACCTTTGTTGTTGTAAGCAGATGGGACCTTGGAGTTTTTGTTACCGCAATCTAACTAAGTCTAAAGTGATGATAAAAAATCAAGCTGGCTACTTGGCTCATTAAAAGTATAAATAAGGCTGGGTGTGGTAGTTCACACACTTGTAATCCCAGCACTTTTGGAGGCTAAGGTGGGTGTATCACCTGATCAGGAATTCAAAACCAGCCTGGCCATCATGGTGAAACCCTGTCTCTACAAAAAATATAAAAATTAGCAGGGCATCACGGCAGGCACCTGTAATCCCAGCTACTCAGAAGGTTGAGGCAGGAGAATCACTTGAACCTGGGAGATGGAAGTTGTAGTAAGCCAAGATCATGCCACTGCACTCCAGCCTGGGAAACAGAGAAAGATTCTGGCTCAAAAAAAGAGACAATAAATAAAAGGGAACTTTATAACAGATGGATCAGGCTGATAACATCTAAACCATGGAACCAATCTGAAAATCACAAGGAAATAAAACCAAAGATTATGTGGTGTTGATATGATGCAACAGAAAGTTCTTGCTAAATTAGAAAAGCACAAAGTTAAACCTAGCATGATTGTGCCTCTAGATCTAACCATCAGTATACCAGGCAGAGTTAAATGATGTACTGTGGATGAAATAAGCCAAACCCAGAATGTGACAAAGTCTACAGGACAAATCACTCACCTGACTTCCTCAAGAAAAATAAAAAACGTTTAAAAAATATTTTTTTAACATGCAAGGAGACATAACTTTTAATTCAAAGATACTGGCTGGGCACGGTGGCTCACACCTGTAATCCCAGCACTTTGGGAGACCGAGGCTGGCAGATCACCTCAGGTCAGGAGTGTGCAACCAGCCTGACCAACAAGGTGAAACCCCATCTCCACCTAAAATACAAAATTAGCCAGGCGTGGTGAGGAGTGCCTATAATCCCAGTTGCTTGGGAGGCTAAGGCAGGAGAATCACTTGAACCCAGGAGGCGGAGGTTGCAGCGAGCTGAGATTGTGCTATTGCACTCCAACCTAGGCAACAAGAGCCAAGAACAGCCGAACTCCATCTCAAAAAAAAAAAAATTCTCAACTGATGTATCTATCAGATTTATTACTTGGACTTGTATCCTGGTTTCAAACAAGTATTAATAAATTTATAAAAATTAAGAACATGTGAACACACTTTTGTTATCTATTGAAACGTTTTTGTTTATTTTTAAGGTGTGATAATGATTTTGTGTTTTTTTTTAAAGAGTATGGGATACATACATATAAAGTTTCTTACAGTAATCACAATAGGAAAAATTTGCTTTAAAATAATACAACAGTGAGAGGAGTAAGTGGAACAGGATTAGCCAGATGTTGCTAAAGCTCAGTAAGGGGAATTTTTAAAACCAAAATTTAAAACTTCTGTTCTTCCCAAGATATAAAGAAAACAAAGTCACAAACTGCAGGGAAAATATTCAGAATGTGTGTATTTGACAAAAAGACTTACATCAAGAATATATAAAGAATCTTTATAATTCATTAAATGAGACAACTCAAAAATAGGCAAAAGATATAAACAAACACTTCACAAAAAGATATTTGAATGGTCAATAAACACATGAAAAGAGGTTATCAGTAAAATGTTACTTAGTAATCACAGAAATGCAAAATAAATCCACAATGAGATGCCACTACGAACCAATCCTAAATATTGGTGAGGATGTGGAGCAACTGGAATTCACATATGCTGTAGTTCATGTTTAATATGATACAACCACTTGGAAAAATGACAGCCAAAAAGTGGAAAAAAATTCAAATGTCTAACAAGTGAGTAAACACACAAATTGTGGTATATCTTAACAATGGATAATACTCAGCAATAAAAAGGATTAAACTATGGACACTCCCATGTATATGGATAAATCTCAAAAATATTCCTCTGCATAAAAGCAACAAGATCAAAAAGTATTATATACTGTATAATTCCACTCAACTGAAGATCTAGAAAAAGCAAAACTAATCTACATGGATTGAAAGCACATCAGTGGTTTGTAATGTGTTTAGGGCTAGGGTCAGAGGAGACTGACTGGACAGGAGCATGAAGAGCCCATTTGAAGTTGTGGAAATTTCACCATGCTGATGATTTATAAGGTTGTATAACTGCCATACCCATCAAACTATATACTTAAAACAGGTGTTCTTATTGCATATTTGAAATTATACCTTCAAGTTTTTGAATTTCACAATCAGATATAAAAATAGATAAAATTATATCATTTTTATGGAGTCACATATTATAAGGGTAAATCAAAGATTTAAGAAGAAATCACTAAAGAGAGAAATCAAATTGGTTTAATAATCTAAGACATTATAGCCATATCCTCAAGGGAGTGAGACCACAGAGAAATAACAGGCTATTTTAGTCCTCATGTCTGAAAAGAGAACAAGTCCTAGGAAAAAGGTAAATGTTTTCCTCATACTAAATCAGGGCCCTTTTACCCCACAAAACAAAACAAAACAACTGTTTAAACACTGGAAATAAAAAAGACATAACTATTATTATAATATGTAAAATTACTTTTTTTTTTTTTTTTTTTTTTGGAGACCAAGTCTCACTATTGTCACCCAGGCTGGAGTGCAATGGTGAGATCTTGGCTCACTGCAAGCTCCGTCTCCCTGGTTCAAGTGATTCTCCTGCCTCAGCTTCCCGAATAGCTGAGATTACAGGCAACCACCACCACACCCAGCTAATTTTTTGTATGTTTAGCAGAGACGGGGTTTTGCCATGTTGCGCAGGCTGGTCTTGAACTTCTGACCTCTGGTAATCTGCCTGCCTGGGCCTCCCAATTTTTTTCTATTTTTAAGATGGGGTTTCACCATGTTGGCCAGGCTGGTTTTGAACTGCTGACCTCAGAGATCTGTCCGCCTTAGCCTCCCAATATGCTGGGATTACAGGTGTGAACCATTGCACCTAGCCATAAAATGATTTTCATATTGATAATTCTTGGGTAATCAGCATTTAAACTAGTAAATCTCAGGCATTATTTTAGAGATGCCAGTCTCTCCATAAAAATGAAAAAAAAAAAAAAAAAACATGAAAAAAATCCTTTAGTTTTATTTCATTATCATTTATTTTTTGAGATGGGGTCTCACTCTATTATCCAGGGTGGAATTCAGTGGCGTGAGCTCAGCTCACTGCAACCTCTCCCTCTCTGGGCTCAGGTGATCCTCCCACCTCAGCCTCCCAAGTGGCTGGGATTACAGGCATGCGTCACCATGTCCTGCTATCTTTTTTTTGGTGTATTTTTTTCTAAAGACGGGGTTTCACCATGTTGCCCAGGCTGGGCCTTAAACTCCTGAGCTCAAGCAATGTGCCCGCCTCAGCCTCCCAAAGTGTTAGGATTATATGCATAAGCCACTGTGCCCAGCAAAAAAAATAATCCTTTAGAACTCTGAAAAACATAGGTACTAGAAAAAATGTATTCCTGGACATTTAATTGTTTAGAATATATCTCAAACTTGGGTAAAATTATCTTCAATCTATAACCACAATGTGCTCTAAATATGTAAGGCTGACGGAAGCATAGATATGAACCTGGTCCATCAAATTTTCTTGCACAATTCAAGAGGCAGGAGAAGGAAATTTTAGCGTTTGTAAAAAATAATTTTTAGACTATTTAGAAACAAATGGATGCCGTACTATGCCACTTCAGTAATTACTGATTTTCTATTCCCAAACTTCAAAGTAAAAAAAAAAAAAAATTATTTAAAAAAATACTTCATTTCTGTTTAAAAATTCACTTATGTAAAATAAATTTAAGGTTTTAAATTCAAATATAGGTGTGTCAATTTGATTTATGTCCATTTCTTCTATATATTCCTTTGTTCTGTGTTTTGGATATAAAGTTCCATGACTTAGGCATGCACAATAAGGCATAATTAGGCATTACGACATGGTATCCCAGATAGCAAGTCTTCATTCAGTATCTGCTGCCCTAATGAAGTTAGCACTACTTCTGCCAGAAAAGGAGTCTGGCCCCGGTTCTTCCACATTTACACTTGGGAAGCTTTTTACTTCACTAAGGTATATTGTTAACTTCATCTGAATTTAACCTCACTGAATAATTAACAATTCTAAATCGTTCAAACCTAAACTAAAAAAATTTTGCTGTATATCTTTCAAATATTTTCGTAAGTGAATTCCTGCCTCTCAGTGGTAGCATCTGAATTCAAAATTATGCTTCAAAACTATCAGTAGCTATTCTGCAATCCATGAAGCATGGATGTTCTGCATTGTGGAAAATGTAGTTCAGCCACCACATTTTCAACCTGAAGGCAGTTATGTTTAATATAAGCATTTGACTCAATTTCTGTGTGCTAAAATATTTGACTGAGAGAATACATTCCATAAAATAATTTAAATTCATTAGGAACATATTATATAAAATGGTAAAGCATTTGCCATAGTTTCATAGCAAGCACTTCCATTACTTAAAAAAATCTACATTCTGGTATTAAGCATTCTTACACTTTTTCGTTAATGATTTTTCAATTGGAAAAAACACACACACATAAAACCAACTTGTAAAACATAGAGTTTGGCTTTTGCATTCATTTTAGAAAGTGTGATCAATAATTTCTCTTGCTAACAGACAAAAATAATTTGACAAAAAAGAAGTATGGCACTGAGAAATAACAGATTCAGAATGGAAACACTATCCTCTTAGATATGTACATTCTAAATCAAAGTTAAACTTGACAGTAGATTTACTTACCAATATTTTCTGTGGGCATTGAGACCCTTGTTGGTTCTAAAAGATTGTCAGCTAGGACAAAAGCTCCTTCTTCCAATGTATCGAGTAACATTGTTGCAGTATGTGCTTGTTCAGAAGAATTCATATGTTTCCAGGATTCCAAAGCTTCAGGTCTCAGAAGGTTGTCCACTGTGTCAACAATTGCCTGTATCCATTAGGAAACTATCATTAGGTTTGACTTCTTCTAGAATGAAAGTGATTTTCAGTCGCTGACGAGTGACAACTATAATATTTATCTATCATGATTTACTCTTCCTTCAAGATCCAAGAACACCTAGACAACATATATCTGGTCAACTTAAAATATACCTGGACCATTTTAAAACAGGACTAGCTGAAGATTAACAGACTGCTATTAGAGTATAAAGAGTTAAGTGTAGAAAGGTGGGTTGTTCCTATCTATTTAATCACACCTCAAATGTTGACAGTTGACAACCACCTGTGTCAGCTCTTAATCTGAGACATTACTCTTACAGGTAGAGTCAAAACTACTAAAGTCGTCCTATTTATAATTGCAAGACTTGAATATTCTAAACCAAAAATACTAATGGCTTTGGCACAGACTAATACGTATGCTTGAAAATTAAACTACATTATTTTTTGGAATCTGAACTAAAATAGTAACCAAAATTATTCCTTATAGACATTGTCTACTTATTATCATTTGTAAAAAAAAAAAGCCAAGGTGGTAATAAAGTTCATAAATTATCTGTGAACATTTTCACTCTTCCAATTCTCTGTTCAGCTAAAAAAAAAAAACACACTTGAGCATATACTTTAATTCATCAGCAATGATCTGCTTTTAAAGGGATAAAGAAAAGAATCAAAATTAAAGCCTCTATTGGTAAGTTGACAAAAACAGGAAAGTAGAAATCTTCATAAACATCCAAGTTGTAAATATTCACATATGTAGGTTTATATTTATTGCTACGCAAAATAACAGTAAATAAAATACAACTCAATTAATCAACTGAAGGCAGACTCTTATACTAATATGCTCTGTAGCTACACCCTCACTATGCATTGGAAAGCTGAAACACTAAGTTTATTTACTCTGTTCCATTCACCCAGTCGTAATGTGTCATTAGGCCCATAAACACATAGGTTTGATCTATTGGTAATCACTGAAGAAAAAGAACACACATTGTACAAAAAGAACAACAATAAAAATTGCTAGTGTGAGGTACTATATGAATGGGGGAAAAGTTGTTTGAGGCTACTGTCAGAGTAAGATTAATTAGCTTAATCCATCTTAATATTCTCGTTCTGTCTGCCTTGTGAGCCACCACGACCTTCCTGGCAGGTGGAAGATACTTCCAAGTGGCGTTAAAGGCTTTTTTTTCTCCCTTTAATGGGAAATAGAATAGTCAAAATGCTCACACTGATACTGCTGTAGCCATTAACTAGAGTGGAATAGAAATTGGTCTGCAGAGGCCAGATTCATTAGTCACCAAGAAATACAGACTGGAGACTCTCTCTAATCTAAGTTACAAATGAATCCTCTGTCACAAAGTGGGAACTTGCTTCATTTGCATAGTGTAAGTCAGCTTCTGATTTGTAATTTAAAGAGTTTTATTAGTCTTATCTGAACAGAGAAGCTCATTTGAAACATACTGAAAATGACACTGGTCAGAAATTAAGGTCATGCTGAAATTTACTCCATATACACATAACTTGCTGATGTCATGCTTTTATTAATTTGAAACACTCCTTATTTATGACTATTTGTACTTGTCTAGTGGGATCAAAATGATCATTAGCCTAATCATATTCCTGAAGTAGTCTCATCCTGTCAAAGGACAAAAGAAAGCTATTCTTTTCCAACTGAGATGTATGTTCTGGGCAACATACCAATTATTACATTTTATACATTAACTAACATCTTAAAAGTGAACAGATGATTGAAGTTTAAAAAATTCTGTAAACTTCAGCAGTTACTTCTTTGCCCCTATTAAACAGGCTAAAAGGGGACTTTCAGAACAGTATTACCTAAAAACAGACTTTCCTACTACCTTTTCTTGTAAAGTTTTCAGGTTCAATAATGTCTAATACTAACTAGTGAGACATCATTTTTTTCTAGACTCTGCCAACCAAAATTAGTGAAGTCATGGCTTTTTAATAATCTCTAGTCTAAGAAACTACAAAAGTTCTTTTGCTTTGTTGTCACAAATACGGATTCGTCCTTCAAGGTTTGATTTACCACAGTTACGGTCCCCTGAAGAATAAGGTTAGAAAATAACTAACTCTGCAAAAGGAACTTCTAAAATTCACAGAAGAAAACAAAGTGCAATTTGGTATTATTATTTTGATCTATCACACAGAACTAGTACGGCGTAATCCCACTGTCCGTGTCAGCATGTTTCCTATTACCTGGATAGACCAGGGAGAAAACCCGGCTGGAGTGGACAGGGATTGTGAGCTAAATGCTTTCTGTTCCTATCAGCTTGATAAAAACCAGAATATATCATATACAGATATCACGGTCAAATTATTTATATTTCATTTCTAGTAACCCATCCCCGGATCAACCTGATTCTAGAAATGACTCCTAAAAATTTCAGAACAAAGCCTATTTGAGTATACCACAAAGAAAGCAGTGACTTTTTCATGCACATACATTATGACTATACAGTCTTTGATATGATAAACTGCCAAGAATATATCATAGCTGTTTTACTCAAGTTGTTGTTTAATCCACAGAGATGACAACAGTAAACAAAGAGACTATATAATTACTTTCCAATTAAGAAGCTATTTCGTTAAAATTCATGTACTTTTGGATGAATGGAAAAACAGCAAAAATTATCAAAAGTAAATTATTTGCTTATTCTGAGAGTGATATACCTGTGAAAAGCCAACATTTGTACAGCTGATATGGGGCACATTATATAATTATCAAAGACTGAAATACATTGGATCATGCAGCAAGATGATAAAGCGTGGCAGGTAGCTGAAGAAGGGAGAAAGCAGGGTGACAGCACAGGAGAGATACCTTAAGGTAAGCCCTGCATGTCTTCTCTCGTTTTTGGAGCTTTTAAGTAAAAGAAAAGAAAATCAGAGGTTAGATTTTTATCTGCTGAAAATGAGGAAAGAAGAAATCCTCAAAAGTTAAGCTGGTGTTCCAGAGCCTAAAGTTTATATGCAGTAGTCCTCTGGAGTCTCAGTCTGCACTGACTACTAAAAACTGCTTATTTACAGTTTTTTATTATATTTTATAAGCATACTAATCCAAAATATGTTGACAAAAAGAGACAAAACACATACTGCAGGAAAAAAAGTCAATTTTCTTAACTCGGTAGAACCACATTAGGCACAGATTTTGGGTTCCTATGAACTAATGTAAACACTTATAGTGCGGTGAAAAGTAGCAATCAAATTGTTGTCATAGCAGGAAAAATTAATGGCACTGATACAATATATTGCTGGAGAGGGCAACTTGTCCTTCTTCAGAAAGCTGTGGGCTAATAGTACTATACGCGTCACAATTCTGCTGCAACTGTAAGAGTTCCATATATTAGCATACAAAGTATATCAACTGTATAACATATAATCTCTCCAAGTGCAGATAATGCATTCTAAAGTGACAGTCCCGACCACAATCAGATGGATAAATTTTGCCTCCAACTAAGATCTCTCTCAGGTAATTAACATCATTTACACTTTTTTGGGAGGGCAGGGCACACTGCTCCTTTCTCAACTGTAATTCTTCCTTGGAAAATGAATCAGATTAGAAATTTTTCTTCTAGGTATAAGCCTGGGAGCCAGAGATTTGTCTCTCAACTGCTGTAAGAGCTGCCGTACCAAGTGTTTAATTAAAAAATATCAAGAGTTCTCCCTACCTTGTTATAACTCCGTCCAGCTGAATCTTTTTCACTAGGTTTCAGTTCCTGCAGCTGTGCATCAAGAATGTCCACCAACTGCTCCATCAATCTCACTGAAGAACTTACATCCCCAGCAAACACTGGCCCTTTGGTATGTTTAGCCAGTTCATTGGCAAGACTAGCAGCATTTTCTCCACTTCTGATCTGAAATGACAATTTGTATTATCTCAGTTAAATTTTCTGTTCTGTTTACGGCTTCCAGTTCTCTTTGAGTATCTCTATTGTGATGAAAAAATTATTCGCAAATGTCAAATTCTTCAACTGAGACCGAAAACTTTCTCTTCATCTTAGAAGATTCTAGGCTCTTAGATCAACACAGACACACAGAATTCGGAATCCGACATTTATAAGAAACAAACAAACAAAAAATCCTTTCTAAAAATTTTCAGCCAGTTTTCTAATTTCAGTGCAACCATTTAAAATTGTTATTTTAAAGTCTTACTTATTCCAACGATCCAGAATTTAAATCAGTATGTAATCAGCATGATACTGAGGGTTATTATCTAATGTTCATTTGTCAAAAAGGTAGATGGAGGAGAAAATAAAATGGCACTGCATTACACTGTAATATTCAAGTAGTTTACTCATTCTACCATAATCACGTGTGGTACAAACATCTGCTTGCATTCTGAGGATTCAGTTGCAAACTTAATGGTATTTGATTTAATAGACCAATGCAGTTTGTCTTATGAACATCAAAAGAAAGAGAACTAAGTATGAATGAAATTAACAAGCATGTACTCATAAAAAGCTTAACAGAGAACAGCATACCGCCAAACATATGTAACTGTCAACAAATAGTTTACAGACAAAACTATGCATGATTTTTGTTTACTTTTATACTGAACAAAGAGCAATAAAGCTGGTTTTAACACACAAAACTAAATTATTTATGTTAGAAGTTAAAGCCCTAAATCACCAATGTGTCATATTAAAAGGTTCCAACCAACCTTCTGAGCCAGCTGATTCACCCAGTGTGAAGTACAATTGCTAAGATCGGGGCCCTTAGGGTTCCATGTTCCAGTGGAAACCATGCAGAGATATGAAGCAGTTCCTGCAACAGATGTAGAAAACAATAGTGAAATTGAAACCATTTTTCTGTACACATTCGGGAAATCAGCTATGATGATCCTGCTCTGTGTGTTAAATTTTGAATAAACTCCAATGCAAGTATTTGCCAATAACTGACAAAAAGGTATAATGCAGATTATAAATGGTAAATATGAAGTCAGCATAGAAATATCATACATTTACAGCAAACAAACAAAAGCCCTTGATTTTCTTGGGACCCATCCAAAGTGATGCTTATAACGAGAAAGGCAGCTGTGAGGAAGACTCACAAGAGTCCTGGGACAAAAATCTCAGGCTTGACCTAGGTCTCTGAAAGGAAGAGGTAATTTATAGTGCCTGATCTTAAATGACATTTACAGTTCAAAAAACTTTGTCCATAGATGTTACATTACCAAAGTATAAACATAAAGTCAGCTACTGTAAACATCTCTTTCTTTGAATAAAATCAGTGTAATTCAGAACCTGCTACTAAATTGAAAAATGTATGCATGGTATTTTATAGAAAATACCTCTTGTTCCCTTGGGGCATGGTCGTTCAACCATCACTCCCCTTTGTGTCTGAGGCCACTTTATCCCCCTGGAGTCTAACGCTTCACAGAATCTCTCTGGCAGGGGAAAAATATTTGTTACAGGTGGAATTTTGGTTGTAGAAAGTGCTGGAGGTGGTTTTGTCCCTTTGCTTCCTTCCTGTGATCCAGCTACAGTTGTGCTCATGGGGCCTTTCTGTGAAGTAGTGCTTGTGGTTGATGCTGTGGTTTTGAACAGCTCAGCTGAAGAAGTTATTGTCACAGCTGTGGTAGGCACTATGGAAAAAAGATGAGTATATTAATCTCCAACACACACTTACACTCACATACAGGCATGCACACACACACACACAGACACACACACACGCACAAAACTCTACCCATCTGTCTGCCCCCAAACCAAGCAAATGAGAATTACTGACAGTATTGTTCGAGAGTGAGAAAGAATAAATCTTTTCATCTGTTCCAATTTATTCATACTAATAGCTAAGAGAAGGTAGGTTGTTTAGGCTTTACTATAGCTTTTGCTGTAGGACTCTTAGGTTTACTTCTCAATGAAATATGTGATAGTATAGTTTAAGTGTAATTTCATCACATACTGTTGAACAGAAAATGTGGGACAGTTTAATTTAGAAAAATTCTATTACATAAACTCACCTTCTATAAGCAATCAAATTCAAAGCATTAACAAAACTGTGACAAGTATATATAATTAGAATGACAAAAAAATTTAAAGTCACCCACTTTACATATTCTAGAAAATAAATACTGTGACATCTTTCCACCCAGCAGCCATTCTTGCCTGAGCATGATCGGCATGCCTGATTAGATCCAAACAGGAGATAAGCTTGGCATGCTTGTGCTGACTTAGTAAGGAAACATCTCAGACTTCGGCATTGTTACTTTGGGATAGGTAGGTTCAAAGAAGCAGCTAGTTCCAGTCAGACGTGGAATCTCTTAACAAGATAAAGCATTAGATCAAATCATGCCTAATCAAAACCAACCTTTTGTATCTTAGTGACCCTTAACAGAGAACATAAAAGAACTGTCGTTACACATTTAAAAGCAGAAATGTTTTCATTATTTTTAAAGGTTCTTTTTGCCTTCCAATGTTACTATCAAACTGTTAAATCCAGTAGGTTTAAGAAATAATGGAACTCAATGTTTCCTCCATTACTTATCATTAAATTAATTTAAACAACAACAAAAATCTGTCAGTAAAAATGTAATACTACCACTTAAAAACTGTTAGAGGAAATCACACGAAAGTTCTATCAGCATTTACAGAGTATTGGCTCTTAAAATCTTACATATATGATACCTTAAATTTAAATTGCTGGAGTACAGCAAATGAAAAATAGCTATTTTTTCAAATCATCTTATAAAAATATCAACTTACTTTACACTTTATCTATACATGGGAATAAGCTAGAAAATTAGAATTTATTAGAAAACGAGTCTATATTATCACTGAAATGTTTACTATTTTAAGCTCTGGTCTATCAATCTTTATTTATATAATTCTGACACTATCGAGTATACTACAAAAAAGTAGTGTGACATGTTTCTAGTTCTTTAGTAGTTACAAACTTCTTGTTATCAATAAGTACACTACACATGTTTTACTCCTTCCCACCCCCCCATCTCAAGAGAAACTTCTAAAGCATGTGTTTTATTTCCAGGGCATAATTTATTGACCATATGAGAGATGCCTATGTACATCAGTCAAACATCATGCCTAGCCAGCTGCTGCAGAAACCTATTCAAACCTGTCTATCTTTTCTGTAAAGCACTTGCTTGACATCTTGTTAAACCTCTGTAATTTTCTTTTGATTACAAGGCAGCCAGGCTTTCAGTGCTTTCTCAATTAACATTTGTCAAAAGCATCACAATCTTTTGCAGAAGTGTCAAACGACTGCTGCTGAATCAAGTCTTAAAGGGGAGTTGGGAATCAGAACAAAAAAGAGAAGAGGGCAGAGCAAAATGGTTCAGTGCTACACTATCTGATATATCCCTTGACACTATCCTAATTAGTACATATTTAATCACTGAACTATGTATTAATACTACAATTAGCGATTTGTTAGTTAAGCATTAGTCGAGATTCATAATAACCGAGTCAAGGTAGACAATAAAAGAACCTCAGTTAAATGTGCGAAATTTCAGGCAACATTCTACAGCCATGTTTCCATTTTATTTTTTAGAATTTATTTTTTATATCTTTTTCACCTTTTGATCACCAAAATAGTTTAAAGGGAATCAACTTATTCTTCACAGGTAAATCAGTGAAATATTGAGATATCATGAAAATAAGCATGATCATAAAGCTTAAGGGACAAAACTAAACCTTTTAGAGGGACAAATATAATTTCTGGGATTTTGGAATGTTTTAAGTTTTGTAACACTAAAAGAAAAGCAACTTTTTTCTCATGTAAAACAAGAAATGAAGATCTATTTCTAAAAATTATTATTTACTTCAACAGGTGGAAATGGCCCCAACAGGGCATCTGTTAATGATAAAAATTTATTTGATTTAGCATTTACGTGCCAGGTGCTATGCCAATCACCATTCATGGATCATCATCATCTTATTTAATCCTTACCACAACTCCATGAAGTGGGCACTATAATTATCTTCCTTTTACAGATAAGGAAACTGAACCATGAAGTTAAGTAATTTAAGGTCACTTTCCCATACTCTTAAATGCTCCTAGTTAAAGATTATTACAGAGTCTAGAAAAATATGGCATCCAACAAGGAACCCTGCAGTTTGCTAGGAACATTTAACTGACATGGTGTTTCTGTGTAAATCACTAAAAGGATAAAAATTTGGAAAGAAAATACAAGACTACAATCAGAAGTTCCATAATGAAACAATGAGAAGTTCCATAATGAAACACGGCAAAAGGTTGAAAACTGAAGAGTATCCTATCAGAAAACACAACTCACAATAGAATTATAACTCTAATCCAAACCCTTTTTTATAGAGCTCTATTTATTCCGATGCCACACCATGCATTCAGATTAGCTGACTTAGGATTCTGTCTACCATTTATCAGTTGAGTACAAACACCTAAGAAATGATGCTAATAAACATACTTAATAGGTACCCATGAAGATTTCAGCTAACACATACAGAATGGTTCAATTTACTCTTATTATGTACTAAGAACTTGCTATATATTACCAGGGTTTTCCTCCACAAAAGGGTTTGAAGACAATAGCCATTTATGCTAAGGGTAGTATTCCCCTGACTGAGGTCCAAGAACTCACTCTCACCCACTGTTCATGAAATGAACTCCAGAGTGAGTCTGCAGCTTGGTAAAGCAAAAATGAACACCTATTAAACTTGTCCCTGTTCACTGTCTAAAAGCACTGATCATCTTTTATAGAGCATTCTTTACGAGTGAAAAGATATCTTGAAAAGTATATATTCTATGCTATATATAAACAAAACCGGCTCTCTTGCTAAAAAATTTTTCCTGGTATTACAGAAGTGTACCACCTAATTAATTAGTCTAAGACAAACGTTGAGGAACTGCCAAAACCCAAGTAAATATGCATGATTTTCTTTATAACATCTGGGATATCAAATGTGCAGACAGGTTAAGTAAATCTAAAGCAATCCAGATTAAGAAATGGAAAAGAGTTAAAACCGACTGGAAAGGATTTTTCCTACGGCCATTCCAGAGAGGGAGAAGGTGAAAGAGGAAAACCAGATCTCGTTTAGGGGAATGGAGCAAATGAACTACGCAGGGATCACATAAAGCTCAAAATTCACCAAAAAAAGATCAGGGCACAACAATATTATGCATGTGCTTTTAGGAATGAAAAGCCTTGGATTTATAAATGGGAAGAAGTATTGAAGCTAATATGCTATTAAACAGTCCACAAGGAAAAATAATGTGAATAATGAAAAAAAACAAATGTATAATTTTACAGCACAATTTATGCCTTGGCCATATGCATGGTAGCAAATCCAGCACCTAAGACTTGAACTGTGAATTTCAGCAAAATAAGTCAATCACTGCTTTATGTCAGGCAAAGAACTCATTTCTCTGATTGTACTGTCTTATCAGTTTCCTGGATCTTGTTTCTGGAAAGCTGACAGTGGCTTACTGGTTTAACCTAAATTTGTGGGCCAGAATAGTTCTGCAAGGCCCCATGTACATGCATATAGGTAGCACACATCTTGGATGAGAGAGGTGGGAGTATCTAAAAGCATAATATAAATTACAAGGAGAGAGAGAGAATGAATATAGGTCAAACAGCAGTGAGAGAAATTTAGGTCAAATAATACTTTTTATCACTAGGGGCTGAACAAGGCTTGGTCAATATGAATTTTCACATTCTTGGAATATTTATGAATGGCTATTTTAGATGACAAAACATAGTTGCAGGAAGATATAGTTGTTACACATGACGAAGCTTTTCATTTTCAAGGCTGTTAACTGCTCTTTCCAAAAGCATCTGAACTATCAAAGACTTTTCTTCTGAAATGGATCAAATTATTTACTAGAATATATGACACATGTGTACGATGGCATTACTAACTATCTTTGTATTCACTGAAGTACTTCGTGATAAGTAGATGGGCAATGTTTTCATTTGTTGAACTGAATTATACTCAATTTTATTCACAATTCTTCAGGTTGTTGCTTGATTATAAATTTGCAATTTTTAAAGAATTTTTTTTCTGAGGATGACAAAAAATTTACTGCTACCCAAGGCAAATCTAACAACTGTCAGACTAATACAGATTACAAAAAGGTTGACATAAAGATGAATAAAATTTTAGCCAATGTCAATACAAGCTTGTCAATGTCTTAAGTTTGCCTTTTGACAAACCTATAGGATAAACAAGCAATATTGTAGTAGCAGCTTTTAGAAAAACAATTGAAATAGAGGAAATAAACCAAATGGCTGGCCTCATGAACAAAAATATGTATACATTTTTAAATAAATGATTCCAAGATACTATCAATACAGCAGGGCAGTACAGCAGGGCATAAAACTATATGCCCCCCAAAAAGATTTCATTTTTACAAATTTAACAATGAACATTACTGCTACAACTATAAGCCAAAAAATATAAACATAACCTGATTTAGGGAAAAGAGGGCTGCATACTAAGTCAATGCATCATTATTGTTATTATTAGTTATTAACAAAACTCACATATTTTGGTATTCTACAATGATTCAAATTAGAAATTCAATGACAAAAAGCTGTAACTTCTGCTTTTGAGGTCCTGACTATATGACAGTATTTAAAACTGGTTAACAGCATATCTTAAAGTATGTATGGGTATATGTTTGTTGTGAACATATTTTAAGTGTGTGTACTTACACTGCTTTAACGGAAGAAAAAATACATTATCTGCCCCACCATATTGAACATATTAACCACTCCAAATAACTTTCTAGTTCCTAAAATTCTGAACTAATACAATAATTTGAAAATTAACTCAGTAAATTAGGATATTAATTCAGATTTTAAACACACAAACATTGTTCAAATAGAAGACTTATACACAGTGTAAGCTCTGTAACACGTTAACTAACTTACCGATTTCCTTCCTTCCTTCCTGCCCTCCCTCACTCTTTGTCTTTCTTTCTTTCCAGAGTCTCGCTCTGTCGCCCAGGCTGACTACAGTGGTGCTACTGCCTCTGCCTCCTGAGTAGCTGGGATTAGAAGCATGCGCCACCACACCTAGCTACTTTTTATATTTTTGGTAGAGATGGCATTTCACCATGTTAGTGAGGCTGGTCTCGAACTCCTGACTTGTGAACTTGTGATCCACCTGTCTTGGCCTCCCAAAGTGCTCAGATTACAGGCATAAGCCACTGTGCCCAGCCCAAGTTATTCTTTCATCATGAGTATGAGATAATCTTGTTTTAATGAAGTATTCATTCATCATAAAAAATTATTTCTCAGAAATTGAACTCACTTAATAAACCAAAGTATACTTCCAAAAAGCATTACTTTCTAAACTAATGATCCTCCATAAAGAGAACACAAATCACACAATGCTAGCATATCTGTCATCAGAAATCATCACTGAGCATCACTTAGAGCTTAGTCCACATGATTGTTAGTCACAGAAATATTGACTTAAAACTGTCACTCATTTATTACAAAATAAAAACATGTAATTTTACATGACAATCTAAATTTTACATGACAATCTAGAAAAATAATGGATGGCTCCCTCTCCTACTCAGAGGACAGATACCAAAACCTCAGAACGCATATACCTGGCATTGTACATCAAGCCTAGCCATTCTCCTGGGACTTCCTAACATACGTTTCCTTTAACTGCTGGTGCCAAGAAGTTAAAAGGTCTGCACATAGATTGTAATCAATTCAGAAGTCAAGTAAGGGAAAACAAACAACAACAAAAATATTACTGACAGGTTTCTGGCTGGTATTGTACTTTTAGCAATGAAAAACTAAACTGACCAATAATGCCACAATTTCTTGAAGCTAAAATTAAAATGAAGAAATTCAGAAAAAGAACCACAATACAGCAAAAATATACCGTAACATTGTCCTTTGTGGTTTAAAAAGAAAAGAGGAAGAAAATAGAAAAAAAAATTAAAAAGTCTTTTAAAAAGTGCTATTTACAAAATGACCTAAGTAGTAGCAAATAAACATTCTTACCTTGGGCAGGATCTGGTGGACCAAACTCCAGAGAATACCGTAAAATGAAGTTATTGTTCCACACGTAAAGTTGGTTATCTCTTGGATTGTAATCCACTGCAGCAATATACTGATATTGGTTGGGGAAGGGAACATCCACATATTCACCTCGGTTTAATCGGGTATTGTAAATGTAATCAATTGCATTCTTGCCTGTTTCACTTTCATTGTCTTGATAAACTGACCTAACCACATAGAGGACTCCACAAATCATAAAAGCATTTGATGCAGCACGTTTGTCGTATACAGTCTCCCACGTTGCTTCAAATCGAAGAGTGTATGGATTCAGCTGGCTAATAACTATCATTCCATTGTTCTGTTCAGTGGCATAAATGACCCATAAGCCATTTTCATCAACTGCTAGGTCGATATCAGTCTTTCCTCCCCATCTGTATGGTGAGGTATCATGGTAGTTGGCATAGTTAATTATGGCCTCGCCACTCTTAATTCTAGTCCTCAAGTCAAATTTCACAATATTCCTTGTTCTTTCTTTGTTAAAGAAGACAGCACCATCATATACCACAAATCCAGTACCATCTACTCGATTTGGAAGTTTATATGTTGTTGTTTGGCGACTATTTTGAAAATCTTCTAAAGAAGCATATTCTATTAAAGTATCAGTACGATAGGGAGTCCAGGGCATGAAATAAATTTTATCTGCAGCCTGAAGAGGGTCCTTGCACCAAGCACCCGCCTTTTGTTCAGCTTCATATATACATGGTGAGTCCACAATTGCTTTCAAGGTCCCAGGACACACAAAAACTAACAGTTACAGAGAAAAGACAAAAATTATGCCAAGTTAAAAAATTACACAGGCAAACACATTTCAGTAATCACAAATCAAAGGGGAAAAATTCATATTATTAGCATTCAATTTTACCAAAATTTATACTTAATACAAATACTATCCTTCTTTTCTAAAAAGTTAGCAAAATCAGTGTACGAGGGTACAAAGTAACTGGAGTTTATTTTCATTAATAAAATCCTAAGTTTAAGATCATTCATAATTGGTCTGACAATTTAAATTTTGGCTGTGCTTTCTTCTTATAATTTGTCAACCTATGTTTTAAAAGTTTGAGCTGTACACAACAGTGTATATTTTATTTTATTCCAAACATTAAACCCTTCAACCCCCTAACCCACCAACAGACCCCCAAAACCAAGACCATGAAATAAGGCAAATAAAATAGAAAACCCAGTGTGAAGGCTTATTTAGAACTTTTATATAAGTTAGACTGAAAACAAAGGTGCTTCCATTTGAGGAACATAAATATTCGGAAAATGCAATTAGGAGCAAAGAAAAGTAAATACAAGAAAAGAAGTGATCCTGTAACCATGGCATGCTATGGAGAGGGTTCTGGAAGCCAGGCAAGATGACACTTTAATTATAAGAAAATATCCAAGGGTGTCAGAAAAAGAGATAAAGGGTAAAAAAGAAACAGAGAAAGGGTAGCTCCCCCTCGCCGACTTCAGAATTTTTACCCCATCACAGATTTAGCAGTCATACAATTTCATTGTCAACAGCTGACTTCCTGATGAGGTGGCATTTATGAGGTCCTGCTGATTATTTTAATACAGGAGTGTTGTGGGGAGAGGGGAGGAGGTTAACATCCATAAGGCACATAACAGGGAGCTGGGGTTCAGAATGTATACATTATTTACCTTTTTGCTCCACTTCTATTTTAAGCATCGGAAGAAAAATAAAAAAGGTGCAAGGAGAAAAGAAGAAAGATTAAAATAAATTGACTGTTAGTCTAAGAATGAATTCGTAACAGATGCTAAATATAGGAAGAATAAGAGCTGTACTACTTTGGATAAAGAGAAACAACAGGAAAACCTAGCAAGAGAAAGATTCTAAAGTTACATAAAAGAACACGGATCAATCATTTTAGGAGATTAAGGAGGCAATACAAAAATGTTGGCATGTTGCTTCACTTAGTGTACCTGAATAAATGATGAAATTCTTCACTAATGCAAGGTATACATACTCTTGCCTTTCCAAAGTCACTCAGCATTCTTAGCAAGTTTTACTTTGTATATGTATGCTATAGAAATAAACGCATGCAAAGGTACATCATCCTTTATCTTATATCAACTGAATTTATCTTATATCAACTGAATTTTTAAACTGACTAACATTAGATAAGCATAACAATAGAAAGATACATTTATAAAAATCACAACTTAATTTTGGAGTTTAGATCAAATTTAATTCTGATGTGGTTACATGTTTTTCAAAGATATTTACTAAGAAAAAATAAATAATTATGCATCCCAGTATATGTTTCAATAGTTTTTCCATTATTTTCTATTTCTAGATAAGTCAATTTTAACCATTAAAAAAGCCTCCTTTTTAGGAATATATAAATCTCCCCGAATTACCAGTAGAGATTTTGAAGAGTAGCATAAGGTATTACCTTTTATCCCCACTAAGAATTAGTATATTTACTTACTTATGTTTACATATATATTTTAAAATTCGTATTAAATTTTCTATATTATATCTCAAACTTGTAATACTTAAGTCTATTAAAAAAATAAGCAAAATACATACAAGGGAAAAGCAAGCACAGTAGGCAAGGAGAAAAAGGAAGAAAGAATTATGGTTAGCTTATTATGACAATTCTACCATCATCAATTTACACAGAAAGCAAGCTAGCATGCAACAACAATCATGTCAAGCATTCAAAGCAAATACCTTGACTCCACAGACCTCATAAAAAGTAAATGCTTTCATAAAACAAACCTGATTAGTAGAGTTACGTGAGGAGAGAGAGAGAGAGAAAAAAAAAAAATTCCTACAGTTTCAAGAAATGGATTATGCAGTTAAGAACAGTGCTACCTAAGATTTTTGTTGGTAAATAGTATTCTAATAATTACAAACCATAAAATACCAGTTTACATTGTATATAGGTTTGAAGTATGTTGCCTGAATTTCATAGAGTGACCAGACTGATGTCTTTTTCTCCCTTTTCTATTGTTAAAATGCATTAGGATGTGCTAATATTGCATTTCCAAAATGTATTCGGACAGTTTAGTACACATTTTATTAAGATCTTAGTTTGCTTAATTTTTAAAAGTTACAATAAGTCATCAAGATTAAATGTTGACCTTCTGAAATACCTATGGGAAAAACATCACAAGAACATTTCTGCCATAGGAATGGCATACAACTTTCCATATTAAGCTACAACTTTCCCCAACCAACTTGGTCTATGTAACCACTTTTCAGGAAACATACTTGATGTATAGTGTAATTCTGACTACATCTGATAAATAGAAGAAATTCAATGATTACTGTCTTGAAAACAACACTGTTTTATAAACCACTAGTCCTAAAATTACTCCTCAGTGAAAGGCAATATTATACCTGCTCAGAATCAATAATGGAAGGGTGTGGTGAGAAAATGAGGATAAGAGCAATCATTAGCGTTGTGACTACTCAAACTACATTTATGTACAGCGGTATGCTTTTTTCCCTAAAGAAAGCGTAATTTTACTGAAATAAACGTGAAGAATGGAAATGCCAGGCACGGTGGCTCATGCCTGTAATCCTAGCACTTTGGGAGGCTGAGGTGGGCGGATCAAAAGGTCAGGGGTTTGAGACCAGCTTGAACAACATGGTGAAACCCTGTCTCTACTTAAAAATACAAAAATTAGCTGGGTGTGGTGGTGCACACCTATAGTCCCAACTACTTGGGAGGCTGAGGCAGGAGAACTGCTTGAACCCAGGAGGTAAAGGTTGCAGTGGGCCAAGAGCATGCCATTGCACTCTAGCCTGGTCAACAGAGTGAGACTCTGTCATAAAAAAAAGGAAAAAAAAGGAATGGAAATAATACATTTTAAAATGTTTACTTAAAAAAGAACTTAAAACAAGTTCAGTAAAAGATGTAGAAAGTATATTTTGTTTTTATTAATTGAAAATGGCTAAATTTTATCATTTGATAAACTAAAATTACAATGTAGTTACTGAACACAATATCAAAGTCTTTATTTGAGATTTAATATCACATGTTAAAAGAAAATATAAATTGTATATTGTATATAATTTATAATTCTGTTGAAAAATAAGTAACACTCAAAAGTGAAGATTAAAAATATTATAAACCTTTGATGATTAATGAATCATATAAGAAAAATATGGCTATTTAAAACAAAAAGTTCCTACATTATGATTTTTATGATAGTCAAAAGGACAGATATCTGTGAAACCAGCCAAAATTCTATCAATAGAAAAATACAAAAATACAATAAAATTTATAAAATCAGCATTCTCTATCACATGCCAAATATCTACTGTAACTTGTCGGAAGAGACTGTATGAATTAATTAATAACAATACACTTTACTTTCCTATAGGCAAAACACACAAATACATGACCCACAAACATCAGTGGAGGACTAACACAAGACAAGAAACTGACCCAAACTAACTATACAGCCTACATACTCTGTGAAGTGACACACTATTTCATTGAATAATATTACTTGTTTATTCATTAATGATTTAATCAATAGTAATGGCTATTTTTCTTATTAAATAAAACTTGTATTTAATATTATATTTACAATGATAATTTGAAATAAAAGGTATAAAAATGAAAACTGACTCCTGCCTGTAGAATGCAAAATTCCAATCTGATTAATAACCTTTATCCTCCAAGATCTTTATGACTCCTCTCAAATATAAATATATGCAATTCCTAGCAGTCTGGCAGTGATAATGGATACTCTGTATACACATACTTTTGACATGGACATTCACTGGGCAAGTACAAGCATCACATATAATACGTGTGCCTGTTTATAAACACACTAAAGTAAAAAAAGTAACAGCATATCTAATGTTCTACGTTGAGCAAATTTCTTTTAAAATTGTCAGAAGTCATGAAAACTTTCTGAAACTGTTTTATAATAGGACTTAACAGTTTGGAATATATAAGATCCTGGAGAATTTACTGTAGATAGAAATTGGTATAAAGCCACGTGCTAATAAATACGTAATAAATGTTACCTGATGGCGACAATTTTTATCAACTAATTAACGTGTAAAAGAGGTATGCAAATGTTACAAAATACAAAAACACTACTAAATCAAAGAGAGTGAAAGCTAAAGGCTTAAAACAAAAGCAAGTATAAAGAATGAATACAATGGACAGAGGCACAAAGAAATAAAAGGTGAGGAAAACAGGAAAAAGAGATTAAGAAAAGACACTGTCCTACATATTAATAGAACAATCTAAAAAGATTCTGCATTTTATTTTAATATTAGTTGCAATTTTTAGTGTGTCACTACTGTAGAGTATACAGGAATTATAAATACGTTTATTCTTTAGCAAGGAGTGATTTAAAAAAAAAAAGCCATAGACTTATTTCTGCCTCGTGCAAACATCTAGAAAGGTAACAGCAAATTAATTACTAATTTTTTTAATTAAAGAAAAACTAAAAAGAACAAATAAATACTTCTCTTGAGTAGAGCTATTTGCAAGTTTAGCACACAATGTACAATACTTCTGGAGAACTGAAAAAGTAAAATTTTGCAAGTTAGACGTTCCAGAAGATATCCACATTTTCCTTTCTTAAACAGCGCAAGAAATAACTTAAGAGTCTGAAAATAATATTTGCTTAATACTGTTCATGGTCTACAGACTAGGTTACAGGAACTGGCTCCAGAAAGATACAATTCTTGGCAGCTCTGACTGATTCCACTGTTTGGGAATGGATGCTGTATTTCTTCTCTAATTTGAGGACAGAAAACATGCTAAAGTCAAGTGAAAGTGACTTTATGGAACAAAATTTTGGTTAAGTCAAAAGAATGCAATGTTCCTCTAGTGGCACGGGAGAATGATTATGTAAGCCACCAACACTACACAGGAGAATATAAAGATCAGTGTACTCAGTAGGCTTCCAATCCTACAAATGGTATAGAAAATACTGAAAACATAAAAAGCATCCATTTCACAGTAGCACAGGAACACAGAGCAGGGATGAAAAGATAATCTGTGTTTGGCCTTTAAATGATAACATGAAAAGCCAATTTGTCAAAACTGTGTCAGAGAAAAGGTGGAGAGTGCTTTCACGGCGTGTGTCAGAATGCATTACTACCATATCGGACACAGCAGATCTATCAGAATTTGGCCCTTTGGTTTTAGAAATATTGATAGTTCGAACATACAAATCTGTCAGAACTAATGACCTAGTTTTTGAGGTTCTGGAAAGAGCAATTTCATTATCTGGCATATTCTTTTTTTAAAGGAAGAAAGCATAAAAAAACTGTCTCAAATCAGTAAGATTGCTGATAAAAAAACATGTAATTCAAATGCCTATGAACTAACATGATTAAATGATATCTCTATCTCTTCTATAATTTAAAAAGCAAAGACAAGAATACGATCAAACTAGATTATAAAAATCAGGTAATATTGAAATTTTTAAGTTGTCTAAAATGGTAGGATTTTTTAAATTGAAAATATAGAATACAATTTTGAAGGATGAATCCTGAGATTAGAAGGAAAACTATACAAAATTTGACTACTCGCTGAAGTCTACCTATAAAATTTTCAATTGAATTTTAAATATTTCTCTGTCGGATCTTAAAAATGATGCTACAAAATTAAAAATGTAGACATGTGCAAGGTTATGTTATATCTATTTCATTTAGCATTTAAGATTTCATCACTGAATCTGGTAAAGAAATGTTCCCTTAAAGACAATGGAACAAAAAGTAAAGCACTTGCCTCAGTTACTGCAATGGTAGCTTTTACCCGGCACTAAAGTTACAACAACAGCAGGTAGCCATTCAAGTAGCTCACGATTAAACTGAAGTCAATTCCTTCTTTAGAAAACTGTGAGCCAAACCAATTTGTCAGCAACTGGTATCGGGCAAAAGTACAGATTTCTATCAGCCGTATTGAATAGCTAATTCAAGTTTGTTTTCTGGAAAAACACTAGCCTTAAAAGCCAAACACTTAAGAACACAGACAGACACTTGGCCAGCATCACACTATGGCTTCCTTCCACACTTCATGAAGCTAATTGGAGGCCCAAGTCTGTTAGTGCTCTGCATGCATAATGGTTTTGTAGGCCATAAACATATGCTTCTTTCACGTGTAGTCTTTCAGCATCAATGACTAATGCTGGGGAAAGTGAAAAATATATATATGTATATTGCATACTTACTGTAAGGGACACATTCATATTGGACTTCAAGGTATTTGTATGTTCCAGGACATGGATCAGGAAACACATCTGACCCAGTAACTACTATACACTGTGTTCGATTGTTGCACCTGGAAAACAAAATGAATCAAACTTGTGCAGCATAATGTGATTATTTTACTTAAATATAACATAGAAATTTTTCACATTTTCTTCAAGCAACTGGAAACATAAAACAGAATTCAAGTGATGTTAAGTTACCCTATATTATTAAATACTTTGTAGGAGTTCTATTTTCTTTATGCTGTAATACACTGGTATCATGGGTCACACTAAATTTTAACTTGAAGTAAACAGAAAATGGCCAACATTTTCCTATTATTCTATTATACATTTTTCAGTTTAATTTTTGACATATTCAACATGAATTAACAAAACAACACAACAATAAATATCTTACCAGGATATTAGATATCATACTTAAGAATTATAATTACAATTTTTAAAAACTGGTCCTATAACTAAACAAAAACGTTAAGAGTCAAAACCTGAATTTCTCAGCATAAAGTTTTTGACAACACACAACAAATGAGGAATCAAGAATTTAATTTTATCCTCTAAATCCAGTTGGGTGTGAAGTTCTCTAATGCACATACTTTCTGCACTCTTGATTACCAGACACCAAGCTAGTAGAGCTCACCTTATATGCTATGGTCCACATAAATGACAAAATGCATTTAAAAGATTCAGAAAAATGCTTGGCACATGTAATGTCTAAGCATTACTGTTACTATTTCTAATCATAGATCAATGTGTCTATATAATTAATGAGATGACTATGTACCTCGGTTCTATACCAGTACTCCCTAAAATATAATATTAGAAATAATGTTGCACTAACATGATGCCTAGAATGTTCTATTTATTGTTACATGAAATTATTTTCTTATTTTTGCATTGTAATTAATTCACCAAAAATATTAGTAATAGATTAGAATTCCAGATAAGATGGCATATAAGTTCTACGAATTTGTCTAGAAGGTCTTTTCATAAGCTTTGTAATGGCAAGAACTACTTCTTTTAGTATTTGATTTGACTACAACCTAATGAATAAAATGTTTTCAGGGTTTTTATTGTGTTTTCCGATAGCCATATACATTAAGGCAAAGCTAGCAGAACAAGAACATTATAACAACATTTATTTAACAGTTGGAATACCACATATTCTATAGTGAATAAATTAACTGAACTCTAAAAAAGCAGTATAAAGATTGTGAAAAAGCATCCCAGTTTCTAGCACAACTAACTAAAGGGCAGTAGAAGGTGAGTCATATTAAAGACGGGTAGGAATAATCATATACATTGGTGCCATTTCAACTCAAAACTAGAATGATTTCTCTTTGAAGAGCAACAAAGCCTATAAACTTCTACAGGATTAAGTAGGTAAATTTTATAATTCAAAGTATATGACAATGAACATCAAACAAGACTTAAATATTAAATAAATTATAAATAGCTTTTATCATGATTACTTTATAATATAGCATATCATTTATTTTTTTAGAAATATACCACACACTGTAATTTTCAAGAACATAAATAATGTAAATGGTATAGTATCTCAGTCTTCTGCAACATGTTTTCCTGTCATTATTCTGTATTTCTCATAATTTGGTTCACTCATCTGAAGAAATCTGTGGCTGGGCACTGTGGCTCACGCCTGTAATTCCAGCACTTTGGGAGGCTGAGGCAGGGGGATCATGACGTCAGGAGTTTGATACCAGCCTGGCCAATATGGTGAAACCCCGTGTCTGCTAAAAATACAAAAATTAGTTGGGCGTGGTGGCGGGTGCCTGTAATCCCAGTTACTCAGGAGGCTGACGCAGGAGAACTGCTTGAACCCAGGAGGCGGAGGCTGCAGTGAACCTAGATCATTCCACTACACTCCAGCCTGGTGACAGAGGGAGGGAAGAAGGGAAAAAGGGAGGGAGGGAGGCAGGGAGGGAGGAAGAAAGGAATTTGCCAGTGGTTCACCATTTAGTGTAAATGAATTATCTTAACATGAATCACAGAACCTATTTACATCCTAAAATTCAAGACAAGAGGTAGGTTTATGTTTTCTCAATAGGTCAATAATACTTCCAACTAAGAAACAGAATTCTGATGTTTCATTTTTCTTCTTAAACTTTTACAGCAACAAGACAGTTCACTGATTTTTTAGTTCCTTGATCTGCCAGAAATCCTAAATCACTAACTTGGTCCCATTAAAAACAAAAGTCCTTTCTTTCATTTCCTTCTTTGTATTTACTCATTCCTACAGGGATCTTTTTAATCACACTCTCACACCTCTCAGAAATGAAGAAAGTGTGTTAAATATCCCTTTCAGATACACCCACAGTATACATTTTATAACTACTCAACCGAACTCTGTTAGGTTGTAAATCCCCACAAATAATTCCTCTTGTGAGTGAACTCTTCATTTAGTTTATCACCCTTCCCTTCTCAGAAAAGGCTCCTCTATCACATAAACATACTAGCAACCCAGGGGAGAGAGGGGGTTGTACTCAAAGTGGAAATGAACCAAGAACACGAAAGACTTTGTTATCAAGGTGAAGGAGAAAGTAACGCAAAAAACTTAGCCATTTATATATATCATTTTTCAAAAATAAAGAATACATTGAAAATTGCCCAGTTTTCTTCCGCTGGAAGTAACTGGATGAATGAATGTAACTAGCACAGAGTTAGAAATCTTTTATTGCCTATTTCTCAATGTCATGGTATGTTCCGCAGGAAGTATATACGCATTCTGGCTTTCATTACATTTTGTTTGAAAGAGGATCAACACTATAACAAAAAATAATTGTCCATATTTACTCTTTTTCAAAACAACTTTGCAACAGTCTTCTGACCAATTACAGGTTCAAATTCATGTCAAACCAATTATGATTATTTATACAAACCACATAACTTTCATTGATTTAAATAATCACATTACACAAAGCATGCACTTTAAGATGGCAAAACGAGTTAATTCTACAAATATAATCTTAAGAAAAATTAATTTAATGAAGCTCCTGCAATAAAATTATTCAAAATTCTAGAATTCATAGCCTCCCAAAATATCAAAAATGTTCAATTTAAATCTGAAAATTTCGTGTTTACACACACACACACACACACACACACACAAAGAGATATCAGAAGTACAAGAATTAATCTTGAAAAAAAATGGAAAATTTAGGGCTAAAACAGTTAAGAGTCAGAAAGAAGAGAAATCCAACTGTAAAAAGCTAAGAAAATTAGAGCTTTGCACGTCACTATCTTGATTCATGGAAATGAATTTAAGATTTTAGAGGCCCATATCACAGAAGTAAAGATACAGACATTTATATTACTTTATAAATAATGCAAGCAGCACTAAGTTTGCAAATAGAGAGTGAGGAGATAAGAAAGATACTGGCAAATACCCAATGTGAGCTATTAATACTAAGAAAAATCTGAAAATTCCTTAATAATATGCTGTTGTTAAGATTATAAAACTCTACATTTGCTATCATTTAAAAATATCCAGAAAGAAAGCTATTACTTATCCATAAAAGCAAAGTAAATTCCCGCCAAGAGCTCAGTTTCAAGTTCTCATACTAATGAAAGTGAAAAGGTAGAGTTAAGCCAAGAAAGAGAAAGCGTTTAGTCGTTTGTATTCTCAGTAGTGGGCATAGTTCCTGGCATGACTTTCTCCCTCTTCCTCTACAGAAAAAGATTTCTTTACCAATAAAGGTATCGTTGTTTTAACAATCAAAGTATCAGTATACTTTGGTAATACCATGTGGGTTTATTATGTTAATAACCTAAAATTTTCTCACACATTAATCATAAAAAATAGGTATGAATGGGAACAAGGAAGAAGAGGAAAAACTATGGTTTAATAAGTAGACCTTTTACTACAATTTGAAGGAATTACAATTACTGTTCATCATAAAGAAACAGTTACTAGAATATATTTTGAACACTTCAACTTTCAAACAACTGGTCTTATTTCATTTTATATTTATAAAGATGAACAGATGAGTTAAGATACTTAAAGCAGTGGTTTTCCAAATGTAGTCCTCATGCCAATAGCACCAGCATCAACTGAAAACTTGTTAGAAATACAAATTATTAAGTTCCACCAAAAACTGGCAGGTTTAGTAACTCTGGAAATGAATATCCAGCCATCTCAGATTTAACAAGTTTTGCAGGTGATTCTGATCCATGCAATTTCTGTGAGAACCACAGAGTTAAAGCAAGATAGGTTTATATACTTTACTAAAGAATAAATATGAATGGCAACACGATTTTGCTCTATAAAACTTAGTAAAACACAAATGAAATAGAAAACAAGTGATGAGTACAATTTATGCAAGAAGTATATAATAGAGTTTACAATGCTGATACATCTTTTTGCTAATTCTAAGTGTAGAATATCAAGAGTTTTAGTTGCTCTGATTTTGAGCAAGCTGTCTAGTTGTTCTTCAATTCCTAACACGGAGAATCTAAATAGTACAATATGAGTACATGTATAATCACCTATTAATCAATTTTTTAACAGATAAGAAGTATAATGGTTTGATAAAAACTTGCTAGCTAATAAATTGGAAATAAAGCTTTAAAGAATCTGTAAAAATATACTATGTTCTACAGAAGTATGTCATTAAAAATAACAGAAAAATATGACCCACTGTAATCATTGCAAATTTTTCTATATTCAACCTGACTTATTTATATATTCAAATAAATTTTAATAAAGTAGCTCAACTCTAGGAAGGTGTTAAATATAGTTGTTTTTAGAGAGAACTCAGAGGCATAAGTAGTCCTTGCACATAATGTCTATAAACAGTTTCTGGGCCAGGTGCTATTGTTCATGCTTATAATTCCAGCACTTTGGGAGGCAAAAACAAAGGCAGGAGGATCTCTTGAGCTCAGGAGTTTCAGACCAGCCTGGGTAACATGGCAAAACCCCATCTCTATAAAAATTTTAAAAAATTAGCCAGGTATGGTGGTATGTACCAGTAGTTCCAGCTATTTAGGGGAGACTGAGGTGGGAGGATTGCACCACTGAAGCGTAGCTCAGGTGACATAGTGAGACCCTATC